CTCAATGCTTCCTCTGTGATACCTGCCTAAGAATAATATTCCTACCATGTGCAGGTGCTATATTAAGTAATGCATAACATATGTAATTTAATACTTGCAATAGTCTTGGAAGGTAAGTGCTACTATCCAAACTTTACAGATTAGAAAATTTAGGCTCAAACTCCACAGCAAGGAAGCATTAGAAACAGAATTCAAACTCCAGGTTCCCCTGACCTTAACCATTACTCCCAGTGCATTTCTCTGAAGAAGACCCCTGACTTCCATCTGGCCTCCTCTTTCCAACCTACTGACTTTGTTTTACTCCCACTCCCTGGGCCTGCCTCCTCCGTCCCTTTCCTCTATACCAGGTAAACCATCAAGGAGCTGATGCATGTGCCTCACGTGATCTGTTGTGACTCCCATGATCCCCTCTGCTTCCCACAATCCCTTGTGTCTCCTATAACCTCCTGTGCTCACAATTAGCTGATATTGACCCCTAGGGACCAGCTGGGGTCCACTGGTTCTCCATGGCTGACTGAATTAAGCTCTTCTCTTTAGTATGGTCACTGAGAACACTTGGTCCCATACTAGTGATCATCATAGGACCTGAAAAAACTCAGAACCAGGTCTTTTGCAGAGTGCTCCCTGGGTATTCTCTCTGACCCCCCCCCCCCCGCTCTGTCAGGAACCTATCTCTCCATTCACTGAGGTATCCGTGTGCTTATTTCCACAAACAGTGTGAGTAAGCAGTTCTAAAGTCCTGTCTCCTCACTCTGACCCTGGCTCCTGGCCCCTCGTCTGATATGAACAGTCAGCAGCCTCCATGCTCGGGGTAAACACCCCTGTGCTGGGATTGTGTCCTAACCCCACTAATCCGCTGCCCAACATTTGGAGCTCAGGAGGTAATGGGGGAAATCCAGTTGGGACAAGGGTAGAGGAAGCAGGAAAGGCACAGCTCAAAAAGTCAGTGAGACATTAAGGCCACTCATCAAACAGTTTGGCGCCTGGCTCCAGGAATTCTGGAGGAATCTGTGAGTTTGTAAAATAGAAAAAAAAAAAACTACATGCCGATCCCCATCCCTGCCTACATTTACACAGACGTGAAACAGAAGGTCGCTGCCATGAGGATAAAAAGCAGGTGCATTAACTTCACGTTTAAAACATCCTTTTCCTGGATACTGTTTTAATTCAGGGCAAATCTTGGGTTGAGTCAGTAGCTCAGTGGGTTGAGTAAAGGACATTGAAGAAGAAACAAGACAGTAAGGACAGTTGTGTTGGAAGGTGTCAGTGGGCAGGGAAGCAGGGGGACCTGGGGTCCGAGGTGAATGCTTATAGGTGCCTCCCTGTGCCAGACAATGGGTAAAGGAAATGGGGACAAGGGCAAGAAGAGAAGAAGGGGTAGAAGGTGACCTACACCTAGAGATGGGCAGTTTCCTTAGTGAACTCTCCATCCAGCCAGGACCGTGAGAGGTACTCGGAGGGAAGGATGCACAAGCCCCACCGCATGAGAGAACCCCAGGCCTGGAATTGGCACCTGAACTTCTCAGCCTAACACTGGACTGAGAGAGAGGAAGAGGGAACATTATCATAGTGATCAAGTGGCTCATAATTTCTGACCAAGTCCCCTTTTCAAGGACTCCATGAAAAAAATATATGTTGCCTTGTGAACTGTTCCATATAGCTGGCCACAGCTTTCCAGAAAATTATAGCAGAGACCACCAAGATGGGTACATTTCAGACTGTCAAGAGTGTGGGGTCACTCTGTTCCTTTAACTCTTAAAAATCTAGATTATTGCTGGGCATGGTGGTGCACACCTCCCAGTGGCTTGGGAGACTGAGGCAGAAAGATCACAAGTTCAAAACTAGCCTCAGCATCTTAGTGAGGCCCGAAACAAACGTCTCAAATAAAAAATGAAAAAAGATTGGGCATGTGGCTCAGTGGTTAAATGCCCTGGGTTAAAAAAAAAAATCTAGATCACCTTGGGATTATACCTAGAAGGCTCATGACGCTCCTGGGGAGCAGGTTAGGGACAGAGATAATTCTAGCCCAAACCCCAGGAGCAGCTGTCTAGTATGCAGCAATGAATGAATGCAGCAACTAAGTCCTTTCTTCATGTGGCATCTTATGAAATGCCTTGGCTTTTTCCAAATGAGGTCTCTGATGATGAACGGGCAGGTGCAGTCAGAGTGACTTTGAAGTGGAAATGCCACATGAGTACAAGTCCCTGTGATAACCTGGAAGGCCCCACAACCTCAACCCTCTCTCACATTACTGGCTTAACTGTTCTGGGATATGTCTGCATGTAGGTCCATCCTCCAGGGAAGGTTCTTTCCTCCGATATCCTTGTGGTTTACCTTTAGTTTATCCTGATACAAAAGGTGGCACCCAGGCCTCATGCATGCTAGACAAGTGCTTTGCCACACGCAACCCTCATGTTTTACTCTTGAACCTACCTCATCAGCTCTCTGATCAAACCCCACCACAGTGGGGCCCTGCCTACTCACACACTCTACTCTAATTGAGTCTGTCCCTAAAACTCACTGCCCCCACCCCCGCCCCGCCCAGGCTTTTCCTTATTTTGTATATTATCTGTTTCCTGAATGGAATCTTCCAGAAGGAAGAAGGAAGGCCTTTTCCTGTGATCATGTTTGCTTGCTTGTTTGTGTTGCTGCCTTGAGCTCACACCAGGCTGGACTTCAACAAGTGACTCTTAAATGAATACATTAGTGCAGACACTCTGGAGGTTCCTGTTGGTGTTGATGGAAGATCCCCTCTGAGAGTGTTTGCTCGTCCCCAGCCAGGGAGGCCATGAGAGAGGGGGCCAGGTGAAGGGTCAGAGAGCCTGCATCCTGGGCCTCTCTTCTCAGAAATCCAAGAAGAGGGGCCAATCTCTGGAGAAACTGTGGCAGCAACAAACCCTTGACAGAATGTGGAGAGTGTCTGATTAATTCTGTTATTAGCATATGAAGGAAAAAAATGTAATCTAGAATCTTGACTGCATCTTAGGTTTAAAAGTGTGTATGTGTGTGTGGTATAGTGAGAGAGAGAGAGAGAGAGAGAGAGAGAGAGAGAGGAGTATTGATTTGGGGGATGGTTGAGAAATTTGAAAATGAGCTGAATATTAGATGCTGCTCTAGGGAATCACTATCAACTTAGCTCTGATAGTGGTACTCAGGTTCTAAGTAAAATATTCTTTGGGGATATGTACCAAAGTGTTTAGAGGAGAAAAATCATAATGTCTGCAATTAATTTTCAAGTGACTCCTGAGAGTGGGTACTATTCACTCATATGACAACTCCTACTTTGTCCCCACCAAGATACCACCAGCGTTCTGGGCCTGTTTCCACCCATAAGAGGAAGACCTTAGTGGGCGGTGATCTGTACGACGACAATGAGAAGCCACGGGTTGCTGTCAACATTTGGTTTTCACTTGGGTCCTGGACTGTGACATTGATTTGAAAGTGATTCTGGTTCCCTTAGTCACATATCAGAGGCATCCTCCAGTCCCGCTGTGCTCTGCCCTCTTCCTGCACCTACCAGGTTGGACTCCTCTGGTCTCTTTCTTTACTAGTGGAATACATAACCAATTAGTCAATACAGCCCATGACCTTTGTAATTTCTCTACTTCCATCTTTGTTTTTCTCTATTCATTACTAAAGACTAATCCACCTCTGTTTCACCTGAGGTTTCAGAGCAAATGACGAGCAAGTATTCTCGGTTTTGCTACACAGACAGGAAACCAGTCTCAGAAATAAAGTGTCTTGTCCAAAGGCAAAAACCCAAATGGCAAAGAATCTTGAATGAGTCTCAGGATTCCCACTTCCCAAACCTCAGCACCCCTCCTGGCAAAAATGTAGCATTCTTCACTCAACCTGATCACCTCCGCCCACCCACCCAATTTCAAAACGCCTGCAGCTCATGGTGGGAAGATGAGGAGTCTGTCACCTACCAGGGTGGAGCCTGCTTCCAGCTGCAGCCTGTAGAAGGTTGCCTAGTTTCGTTTTGCCCCCCTTGGTGAAGCCCACTTTTGCAGCCTGTACCTGAGCACAAACATTAGTGATTTCGATTTTTCCAGCTGATCTGCAACCTTGTGGGATTCAAAGCTATCTTCTCTCAAATGAAGATCTTCCATTTTATTTCTTAAAAAAATAAAAACAAAAAGTTTTAAAAATGGCCGAGGAAGGATTTGTATGGTTTGCCAGAAGAAGTTTGGAAAAGATTTATCCTGTCTCTCAAATTCAAAATCCTTGCAAGCACCACGGCTGGGAATTCAAACAAAATAATCTGTGAGTTGAACATGTGCTTCATCCTGGTTTTCAAAACGAAGGGGAAACTTTCAGCCAACAGACATCACAGACCAAGAGGAGTGAAGGACAGTGACCTCAGATGAGCTTCGGGGTGAAGCCTGGTGAGGAGGGGAGGTTGTCCTGCCCTTGGAGAAAATGTCCATGTGGGCAACCCTCAGGAATCTGTTTCACTTTAAAGGAGAAAATCCTACAGTGATTCTGAAAGACATATGATTGCTGTGACCAAGAGAAGCAAGAAAATACAAGGCAGCTCCGCCACTGCAGTGCCAGGCATGTGACCTTGAAAAAGACCATGGAGACGCCATCTCCACTGGACAAAGCTGGAGAGCACAGGGCCTTGGGGAATTCCAGAGGGCCTTAGGGTGGTACCTGCATTTCACCATGGACTTTGGAGTTTTACCAAGATGTGCCACACAAGCCCTCAGCACTCGTGGGCTCCTGTCTTTTCTAGGGCCGAGGGGCAGCACCACCTCAGTTGGTCAGACGACCCCAGGGAAGGACCTTGGTCCCCCAAGGGAGGTTCAGGAGCAGGAGCAGGACCAGGCCTGACAGGCAGCAGCAACTCCTTGGGCTCACTTCTTGAGACGGGCTCTCAGGCAGGAGCCAGAAAGGGCAGAGCATATTTTACCTGGAAAGAAATAGGGCAACTAAGAGGAAGTGAGGGATGGCGTGGTGGTACCAGCTGGTCAAGGCTGCCTATCTCCTCGCTCATCACCAGCTTCCACCAGAAAAGCCAGACCCGCTTCAGATGGAGTCACTCTCTTTAGTTATTCTCTTTAGAAAGAGGAACGAAACTGTTTCCTTTTAAAGCTTCAGAAAGCAAACTGCCTATATGGCCTGAAGAGGAAAAGAAATGATGGGATGTTAAAAGTCACAGCTGGCAAGAGGATTCATTTAGGACCAAGGCAGCCTGCACAGGCGGTGGCTGTCGCTTTATGTCCCTCCTGACTCCAGGTTGTGAGCTCGGTTGGCCTCGCTCCCCTGGTGGCCCCAAGCTTAGAGATAGTAGGAGGAGCTTCATAAATAATGGCTGGTGTGAACCAGTGAACAGATCACAAGTCCGCCAGGAAGGGCCAGCTCGAGAGGAGCATGAGATTGGTTTCCAAATATTGGTCAAGAGCTCTAAGTTAGGATGTGCCAAGGATAGACTTAATTTAATGTGTTCATATGCCTGGGTGGCTTTTCTGCTTCTAGAAGCCTGAGGGGAAGACAAGGTAATGCACTGGGGTCGTCCTGGGAGGAGAGAACTAAACAAGGTTAGGGAAGGTCTCTAAGGGGGACGTGAGCTCTGCCGGTGCAGCTGCCTTCTCTACCCCTTGGGCCTCCATGCCTGCCTGCCTGCTGGCAGTGTTTGACCAAAGGTGATACTGACTTAGTGGACTAAGGTCATGCCCTCCCTTCCCCCACAATCGATCATTTAATGTGACTTATCAGAAAGAGAAAGAACTGTTTACTTTTAAGCCCTGAATCCCATAAAGGGAGAGGGGAAAGGCCTAAAAGCCACAGAAGCTCAGGGCTCTCACCCACAACTTCCTCCTGCACAGCCAGCAGATATAGGGAACATGGACCCAACCATCCTGCTGGCCAGAGGAGCGCCCTTGGGCTTGAGAAGACCAGTACAAAATGAGGTAAGTGCCTCTCTCCAGGGGCCCAGCAGAATGAGAGTGAATTGCTAACTCAGGTGTTTAAAGACCCACACATCACCTGAGCATCCCCAAGTGTCGAACACACTATGTTTGAATTTTCTGCATGACTCTTCTTCACTTTCTTCAGAAAACCTGGGGGAAACTGAAGACTTTATGGAAGATTCTTCTCAGTTCTGTGGAGAAGAAGGGTGAGGCTAGGGATAAGTGGAGGGCCAGAGGCAATGTGAACTTCCATTTCTGCCCTGGAGTGACAGCACTAAGGTACTTCCCATATTACAAGAATCTGATTTATTGATAACACCAAGGGCTTCAATCAGAATTCCACCTGTGTGAGTGACTTAGGTTTATTTGACCAGGAATCCTTTCCTTTCCTGTGCTTTAGGGCAAGCACACAGGCAAAATCCACTGTGCATTGTTCTTGTACATCTAAAGTACGGGTATTGGAGCTGCTTCTTTTGTGTCTGTCTAACTTGTATTGTTTCCTCAATGGCTCTAGAAATAGCTGACCACCTGTACAGAAATAATACTGGTCTCCAAGCCTCAGCCATTGTTTTTAAAAGAGTCCACAACTTGGTGGAGAATTTACCTAGAGATTTGCTCTCCAGCCTTGGTTGGTGGTAAACACAAATAATAGATGCATGAAGAAGGAACTTTCCAGATTTTCCTGGGTTTTTTTCCTTCTACCTGGGTTTCTAAGAGAAGATGCTGCTTTGCCCTCTGTTGTCAAGAACCTTCTATTTTAAAAGTTCCACGTGCTTTTAAAATGACATGACTCAGAAATATGATACTGACTTCCTTTGTCTTCACCTAGACTATAACAGCCTAAAAAAAAATCAAATCAATGCATTTAACACATCTATTTCATATGACAGTAAATGTGGGTTTGGAATAAAAGTGCATCTTATGTTTTTTTTTAAAGAAATCTTTTTTGGGGGGGCGGGGGTTACTAATAGGTTTTGCAGGAAGGAGGCAATTCACAGTCCCTAAAGCACTCTCTCTCTTCTTGGCCCTGTGGGGTTGGCCTTTGAATAGTCTTAGCTCCCAGGAATAAAATACTGAAGCATAGATAAGCGGAAATCTGACCTGAGAAAGAATAGCAGCTCTGCAGCATTCCTGGCACTTGTGAGTCTAATGTGTCTTGCTGGGAGGTTTAGTGTGCACAGATACTTACAGGTGACAATTTTGCTGAAACCAAGCCCTGCTTGTTTCTCATACTCACAGTTCAAAGAGAAAACTGCGTTGAGAATTGACCACAGCAGCTAGAAATGCCCACAGATTCAGTCTCACTTAGTTTCCTAGACAGCCATTAGGAACAGCTTTAGTTTCAATAGCCATTGAGGAATGCCTCACACTCAACCCCCCTGAAGGAGATCTCAGGAAGTAAGGCACTCAGAGAGACAGTGGGCGATTCGTAGGATGAGATCAGAGGCCTTGAGACGCTGAGATCCTGCAGGACCTTAGCTAAGCTGTGGACAACTCTGTTGGCATTTGAATAAGTCACCCTGGTTGATATCCAACATCTTTTCCTTAAGCATTATTTTCCCCCACAGGAAAAAACAGGTGTTATTATTTCCCAACCATCTTATGAACTCTGTGTGTGTGTGTGTGTGTGTGTGTCTGTTGGGACTTGAACCCAAGGCTTTGTGCAATGCTAGGCAAGCATTTCACCACTGAGCTATTTCCCAGCCCCTCTATTGGATATTACCCAGTATACTTTAATTTCAATTGTTAAATTTGAAATATAACTATTAAATATAACTATTTAATCTTCAGAATAAGAGACTGTGTGAATATATATATGTATATATGTGCATATATATGCATATACATATATATGAACAAGAGTAGCCCCTGGCATTAATCTGAGGACCCTCTCTCAGCAGCACCAACATTTCATGTTTGTGGCAGACTAGTAGGGTATTTAAGTAAGGTGGATCACAGCTTCTAAATACCAGAAAAGAATTTGGCAAGAAGAAATTTTTATTAGAGAATCCAGAAGGGAAAAAAAAAGACTTAACATTTTAAAAAATCTAAGCAGGTACCGTGGAACACATCTATAATCCCAGGTACTTGGGAGGCTGAGGCAGGAGGATAGAAAGTGCTAGGCCAGCCTAGGCACCATAGCAAGACTCTGATTCAAAATGAAAAATAAAAGGGGCTGGGGATGTAACCAGTGGTAGAGTACCCCTGGGTTCAATTCTTCTCCCAGAACAAATTTAAAATTATAATTATTTTTCTCATTACAAAAGTATTACATAAATTGCAAAAATTAATAAATGCAGAGACGTGTAACCATAATTCTTCTACCCGAAGGTAGCTGCGATTAACATTTGATGTTTTTGCTTCAGGGTATATACACTTTTCACAGCAAGGGGCTCATGCCGTGTATGTTGCTTTGTAAATTACTTCTTTATTCGATAACAAATCTTGAATTTCTTTCCAAGTCAAAACCATTTTTCTACAACAACAATTAAATAACCATGATGTATTAGAAATACATAGCCCTTCTCCTATAGTTAGACATTTAGGTTGTTTCCAATTTTTACTGCTATAAACAAAATCACTATGGACAACTTTGGGGGTAAATTTTTCTACAAATTTTTTACTTTTTCCTTGACATGGATTTATGGACCCTAGAAACAGAGTGGAGGAATTTGGCTGAGACTTTAACTGTAATACATTAACTTCCTCCTCTCTTTTCTTCCTCCCTTGTTTATTTTTCCTTCCTTTTCCATTTGCAGATTATCCAAAGCCCAGAGCAAACAGAGCTCTCATGGAGCAGTGAGCTCAGGCAATGCACCAAGGCCCTGAGGAGTGGGCCAAGCCCTGACCCAGTGTGGCCTTCTCTGGGAATATCCTGGCAGGACCCTTTCCACTAATGAACACTTGGCTTCTCCTCGCCTCTTCCCAATCGAGCTGAGATTCCTAGAGCCGCATTGTGATGGCAGCAACATCCCTGGTGTGACCTGGAGGTGGAGATCTCTGTTCTAAATTCCTCCAGCTGACAAAGTAGAATGAGCCGGTGGACTTGTTAGGAAGAGTAGCAAGGAAAGGGAAGGACACACAGTCCATCACATGAAGTGCTAAGGTCTGTGGTAGGGACTGGGGCCAGTTAGAACTCCAGGGTTTGCATCCATTGTCTGAGTCAAGTGGAGCCCACTGCATGGGGAGTGCCACCTGAAAGACAGGTGGGTCAGCTGGCACTTTCCTGCCGCCTCACAAGTGACAGCGTCCTGGGAAGTCAAGCTGGGGCCACAGACCGGAACTGAAGGAAGTCAGTCATGTAGTGGAACATAAGTAAATCTACAAAAAGGAAAGAGGAAAGGGGAAAAAATAGGTGGGGTTCAGCACTCCAACCCCATGGAAGCTGGGTTGCCTGGGGATCAGGGGCATTTTACCAAAAAATACAGAAAAGTTCATTCCCAGTTGCTCAGTCCAGGCCAGTTTCATGGTTAAAGCAAGGCTCTGGTCAAATGTTAACCACTCAGTTATCCTGGGGGAGGGGGGAAATAGCCCACCCCCTCAGCTGTCCCTTTTCCCAGCATTTGGGGAAAATGAAAGAGTAGGTAAAATGTGCTTATTTCCTTTCATTCTCTAGTGTGGGCAGGGGTTCACATAATAGTTGGAAACCATTTTTAACAGGAAATCTGAGTGAATCCAGAAGGGATTTATTCACAGAGCTCCCTTGCTACAAAATGAGTATTATTAACCAAAACTTGACTCGTTCCCTCTTCTTTTCTCCTTGTTTAGCTGCCCCCAGCTGCCACCCACCACCGTAGTGGAAAACGATGGTGGTGAATAAGATTTAAAGTTTGAGCCCAGCAGGCTGCCTCCCTAGCCAACAGAAGCCACTGAGAGGAGCTCACGGCGAAATGCTATATCGCCATCCAAAAAAAGTCATTCTAATTTTCTTAGACTGCAGCTTTGATCCCATTTACTGATGATGGACTGGGAGATATGGTCAGATGAGTTTGGGGGAGGATCCATTAATCCAGTGTTATTCCCATTTATAATGTGGTCTTCTGCTAAGTATTTGTGTTCTAAAATCTGTTCCCTCTGGGGATTCTTTCTCTCAGTCCTCTTAGAAAACTGATGAAAATAGATTTGCCATCCATTTCCAAAGGGGGTCTTTGCTCCTGTCTGTGGGAGGCCTTTTCTGGGTGGTAGGAACGCACACCTGGCAGAGGAACCCTTTATTACCTCTCCTCTCACAGAACACAACCCTTCCCTCCGCGAGTCCTTCTCTCTCCCTGTCGCTGAACTTGCTGGACACCCACGATGCCTCTTTCCTCTGCTCAGGTCACCTATATGGAGCTGGCGAGGATTCCTGATGGCCGGCAGTGACAGTGGTGGAATGTGGGGACGAAGATGACTTCTTCCCAGCGACAGATTTTCCTTAGCAGAGCTGTGGAGTGTGACAATGGTGTTTGTGTCCAAACTATCAAACGCCATTATCACACTAAATAGCTACTGTTAGGCAATCCTTCCGCTCAATAAGTATCTTGGCATCTGTTCGGTCTGGGAAAGAAGGTTTGTCGTATACCAGTGCTCTCAATTTCTGAATAAAAGTCTGGTGCTCTTGTGCTTATGTGTCTGTCTGAACGCTGCCTCTCCCCTGCCATTGTTAAATAGATGGTGATTCTGATGATGGAGGAAGAAAAACCAGCTCAAACTTGGTTTCTCCTCTGTCTTCTCACAATACAGATGGCTTCTGGCACCAGATGTGTGGGGATTTCTTCCCACTAGCAAGTAAGCAATTAATTCTGCAGGTGACACCAACTGGGTGTCCTCTAATCCACTGCAGTTCTGACACTGACTACCTGGAGACGGCACCAGATTCCACAGAGTGGGGGGCTCAGTCCCCAAGACAGCCCCTTCCCTCCACTTCAGATGCCAATCGCAAGCCCCGGGTCATTTTCCCTCGTGCTTCTGAGCTGCCGGCCTAAATTAGAGGTCCCAACAACAGTCTCCTTGGGTTCAACTAATTTGCTTGAGTGGCTCCCAGACTCAGGGAAATGCTCACTTACATCTGTTAAGTTGTTGTAAAGGGGACTAAAAAGGACATAGAGGGAAAGACGCACAGCGCAAGGTATGAGTGACTGAGCCTCCGTGCCCTCTCCAAGAGTGTCATCCTCCAGGAACCTCCTCGTGCTCAGCCACCTGGAAACTCTCCAAACGCTATTTCTTATTTGTTCGTTTTGGTACCAAGGATTGAATCCAGGGGCACTTAAACACCAAGCTCCATCCCCTGACCCCCCCTTTTTTTTTCAGAGACAGGGTCTCAGTAAGTGGCTTAGGGCCTCACTAAGTTGCTGAGGCTGGGTTTGAACTCCCAATCCTCCTGCCTCAGCTTCTCAAGCCGCTGGGAATACAGGTGTGCACCACTGGCCTGGCCTTTTGGAGTTTATAAAAACTCTATTGCGTAGGTATGAGTGAAGCATAGGCAAACGTGTCAAAATGTGATTGGATAAAAAGGGGATGCTCTTTTGCTAAGACTGGGTGGGAAACCCAGCAAGGTTGTCTGTTCCAATTCTTCTTGGCCTCTGTGTGCAGAACTCCTCCTGCGGGCATGGAGTAGGACGCCCTGGAATGAAGAGGTTTTAATGACCTGCCATGAGACAAGGTAGGTCAGAATTATGAGCCAGGAACTGAGGGCAAAACCCCCAAAATATCATAATATCACCATAGTGATGAATTTTCTTATTTTCCTGGGTTAATGAAAAGATTAGAGTCCCCCAGTGTACCCAGCACCAAGTTAGGTATCTGGTAATCATTCAACCCATGCTTGTTGAGTTGAGTGAATAGTTTTGGAAGTATGAGATGCACAAAACTGAAACTGTGTTAAATCTGGTTATGCAAACCACAGGCACAGGGGTGTTAAAGTAAATAACTCCTTTTCATCATAAAAAAAACCCTTATAATAAATTTGTATGTGGCTTAAATAACCTTCCAGAAATTCTAGAATATATTTGATTTCTACTGATTTTAACCAATTACCAGGCTGATTGCGAATTTGTATGCAAGGTCCTTCTTTAAGTTTTGATGAATTACCATCAGAAAATTACATATAAACAGTAATGTTAGTGGCCACGGAAAACCTGAACATGTTAAAGCCCTGCAGCTTCTGAAAGAGTTGGCCCAACTGGGTGGTCTGGTTGGGAACACATTCTCTTTCTGAGAGGCATCCAGAGTAAGGAGCAGTTTCTCTATGTGGCTAAGGCCTCCCTCTTGTGACTTGGCTACATGAACTAATCTGTTTAATCAAATTTGCAGGGTTGGATCAACCATCAGAAACAAATTCATTCTCTCAATCAACCATTTATTTATCAAATAAATATGTATAGAGTGACTCCCACATGCCCAGCACTTTCCTAGACCCTGGAGAAAGTTTTGAATTAAATATGCCTGACATTATTTCCAGAGATAGACATTCACTGGCACACATTCTGTTTGGGATCTTCTAATGATTCCAATTGCATTTACTGTGAAACCCAATGAGCAAGTTGATTCCAACTTCCTTGCTAGAAAGCACCACAGAAATGCAGCCCACACTGTCAAAAAGAGACCCAGACCCTCTCCCCCATGAAATAATTAACACACTTTCCTTTGTATGTGTGTGTTTTCTGGAGAGATTACTAATTGAATGAGCATTGCTAGAGGGCTTTACTATTGCAGGAAAGTTACTCTCATGCACACTGTTTGATTTGATCTATACAACACAGGGAAAAGAAGGCAAGTTGTGGTCCCCTCCCACAGAGGGCAAACAGAGACTCCGGATGCTCCGGAACCATCTGGTCATGCAACCACAACTCAACATGGGGCTCTTACATCTAAAGTTAGGTGCTTTATGTGTAGCCTGCCTTGGCCTGGTTATTCCACAAAACCTCAAGCTCCATGGCTGAGTCTGTGTAGAAACCAGGTCAATCACACCACTGTTGGATCGATACCCTCCACCTCCCACCTGCTTGGACAACGGACTCTGAGGGAAAACCCTAAATAAGAGAGGATTGTGTCATGCGAGGGTTCCCAATTCAGGGAAAGCCCAACACTGTCATGGAAAAACGAGAGGAAAGAGAAGGAACATCTATGCGGTGGTTTTGAGGTCAGGAAGGAGCAGACATCTCAGTGACTTGGCCAACTGAGACACCCCTGAAGGCTTCTGACTTTTCAGTCTCCAAATTGTTCCCAGGTTTGAGGACAATGTGAGCCCTTGGCCCTATTGACTCCTCTTCCCTCCACTCATCCTGAGACTTTGCTCTGATGGATATGAACTGGGAAGAAGAGAAGGGCAAACTTTCTTTTCTACTAGCTTGGCTCATTTGTTGTCTTATTACAATGACTGCCTGGGTTAGTTCTGCATTCACATTTGAAGGCCTGTTTTTTCTGTAGATCTCTAAGGAATATACATAGAAGGCCAAAGTTCCACATCCACACTTTAAAGACACATTTTACAAAATCCTGCTGCTCCAAATCTGTGTCGATAGGGCATCCTGCCCCAGACCAGCTTTCTTCTTCTCCCCTGCCCCAGAGATTTCCAGCCAGTCATTTCCAATAAAGTATTCCTGGGGTCACTTATTGACTCCAAATTTGTCAGATGAAAAAGTCCACGTACTTGGGCATGCCTTACATTCACACCGGAAAGCGGGCAGCAGAGCACAGGCAGCCTCAGTGACTTGTTTTCCTCTCCAGGAGACAGACCACTTGAGTCTGCCTTTGCTTTGTGGATCACGCTGGTAAGGCCCTAAGAGTCCTTTCATCTTAGCACAGTGTGTTCCTTGAACATGACAATTTCCACTTAGGGCCTGCCCTACTTTTCATCCAGCGCCAGGGGAGGTTCTGTGAAATTACGTGGCAGTTACCATATGTCAGTGGTTCATCCACACATATTTCTCAACTCTTTTTTTTTTAACCTATAAAATTCTCCACTTGCATAATTTTTTTCACAGTATTATCTTTATTTAAGTATCAGAAATATTTTCAGTTTTAAAAAAAATGAACCCAGTTTTAAAAAAAATGGTTTCAGTGGTTTGAAGTATTAGTAACTTGATAGAATGGAAAAAATGGGAGTTTTATCTTTTTTATGTTGTTGTTCTTTTTAGTTATACATGACATGGAGTATAACGTCCCATTCTTGTGGTTGTACATGATGTGGAGTAACACTGGTCGTGTATTCATATATGAACACAGGGAAGTTACAGTCTTTCCCATTCCAACCCCTTGCCTCCCCCCACCATTCCCTCCTGTCCAATCTGGTGAACTTCTACTCCCCTCAACCCGCCCATTGTGAGTCAGCATCTGCATACCAGAGAGAACATTCAGCCTTCGGTTTGGGGGGATTGGCTTATTTTTGCTTAGCATGATTCCACTTGTATACTTTTCAGAGAAGATAATAGTATTCTAGAACTGGAAACCCAGTTTACTTTTTGTTCTAATGAGGAAATTGAAAATAGGATATTCTAGAATTCACTGACTGGGTCCATGTTTATGATCTCTGTCTCTGGCATCATAATCCATTCACTAAGTAGACCTGTTGGGTGGCTGCTCTGAGCCTGGTATTGTGCAGGGCTTCAGGGTACAAAAAGGAATGGGACTGGGTCCTTTACTTGAGCTGCTCTCCATCTAGGAGTTGAATAAATGCCTGAACACACCTGTGCTTCACTGGTCCCAAGGTGCCGGCACAGAGACACAGAAAGCTGAGACACTTGGATTAGGCCCTTCATTTCCTTCCAGATGAGGAAACCCTGATCCTTGAATGTCACGATCTCTTTTGTTACTATTGTTTATTTTGGTGGATTCAATGCCACCAGGTCACAGAGAAGGGCATGCCTTTATTTGGGGTGGCAGTGCTGTAATGTGGTCTTGCTGCTTTTATTTTGCCCCTTGACAACCTAATGAGGAGCCCAGGATCTGCTGGAGGTTAGAGGATGGCTCCGGATGCTTTTCAGTTATGTGTGTGAAGAACTTTAATTTCCCACAGGAGCTGGCGAGGATGTGAGCTGGCTGTTCATATTGCAGACGGGGCTGATAATGTAGGAACCAGGCCAGGCCCCGGGGCTGTTCCCTCCCAGTGCTGCCTCATCCATAGGCACAAAATGCCTACTCCAAGATCCCAATGAACACTGCACTACCCCTCAGCTGCTTCTCCCTCAGGACAGGCTCAATGAAGCTGCTGATCCAAAGCCACGGGAGTGCTCTCAGGGCCTGTGTGGGAGTGGAGGGATGGGGTATCCACCGTCCTCTCTTTAATATCCAAATTTCTTTCCAAGTTTCCAAAGGAAAAGGAAAGGGTCCATAGTACACACAAAAATGCTCACAGAAATGTGATTCTGGAGATTCTGAAGGACCTGGGCACATGACATCTTAATTTAGAAAACAGTATCACATGTGATCTGAAAAAAGATTTATGTGACACAAATTTAGGCACTTAGAGTATTTAACCACAGTGCACAGGAGGCAAGGACAAGAACACAAACTCTGGCACTGACTGACTCACTCATTCATTCAACCAAGTTCAACCACATGTTCCCACAAGGTGCCAGACCTTACAGAGTCACTGGTCACTGAGAATTCAAAGATGAGATGATCACCCAATCTAGCAAAGGACACAGACAGGCCATGAGTAATGGCTTCGTGGAGTTAAAATAGAGGCATCTCGGGGCTTAAGGAAGGAAACACCATCTGTAGTAGGTGAGCAAGGTGTGAATGAGCAAAAGAGCCAAGTGCTCCAGTGCTTCCGGTACTTCTGGCAGCCGTGGAGTGAAAGTCAACATTGTGATCTCAGCAAGTCAAGCAGAGAGGTTTCCACATTGGCAAGAGGCTGGGTTACCTTCAAGTTCCCAAAGCATTGCCCGCCATTTCTCTCCAGAGAACAATTGAACTGTGAACCTGAAATTTATTTGAAGGGGATTTTCCTCTCTCAAAATGCAGCCAAACACCCACAAAAAGAGATCAGCTTTAATTAAAAGAAGCACATTGCTCTACTTAGCAAGTGTGTGTGTGTGTGTGTGTGTGTGTGTGTGTGTGTTATGCACATGGAGAATTTCAATTTCTGAAAAGACCTAGGTAAATGCTTTTAAAGTCTTAGTCAACTAGGACTTTTTTTTTGAACCAGGAAAACCAGTGCTAGAGCTCTGACATGGGCTGAGCCTAGGCCACACTTTGCCTGGGACACTGCCCCCTAGTGGTAGGCTATGCCTCTGCCCATCACAGCCGTCCTGGGTCTAAAGGATTTCAGGTTTGCTCCTAAGTATTCCACAGCGATTGCATTAGGCCTTCCCCTGACCACGAAATCCGGCTTTAATTTTTGTAAATTTCATTTTCAAAGGCTTGGGGGAGAGAGGGAAGAGAGTGGAAGTGACTGTTCTATTGAATATCTGTTGACCCATTAAATACAACAGACAAGAACTAATTTTGTCCTACCTACATGACTAGTTTCTTCCTTTTCATTTTCCTGGCACATTTAGCCCAGTAAAGAGCTAATTAAAGTCCTTCCCATTTCTTAGGGTTGCTTGTCTTCCCTGTAGCACATCTTGCCCTGCTTCTCTGCTTGGCTTCACATTGCAGCTGGGTACGAAGACGTCAGAGATTGTCTCCCACATACTTGGAGGCGCCAGCTACTGTATTTCTAGTCTCTCTCACTGACAACTGTGTCTGAGATTTTTCTAGTCTCTCCCATGTCTCTGCAGGAGCCAACTATATATCTCAGAGTAGGTCTTTTGCTCAGCAATTAGAATGCTGGATTGGGAGAGACAGAAAAGGACAGCTATGTGTCCTTTAGGACACACCACATCACCACCCCAAAGTGTAAGATATTTTATTTGCAAGAAGCAATTTTTTTCCTTTGGTTATCTCAAGTAATTCATTCTTAGGGCAGTATTTTTAAGGATCTATTATATGCAAGGCACTGTATTTCTTCTGGTGGAAAGACAGGGGAAGAAGTCTCAGGCAAAGGAAATAACACAAGGGAGTTTTTGAATGGGATGGACTTTGACCAGCCAAGGAACTGGAAGCACATTGGTGTGGCAGGAACATGACAGGCAAGAGGAAGATGGAGAATGGACAGAGACTGCTGCAAGTTCCTGGTGTCAGGACAGAGAAAGAACTCACAAGGAGGGCAGGCATGGTGAACATCATCTCCAGTGGTCATGCCTTTTACTGATGGGATCACTGAGACTGGGGACTGGGGACTGAGAGCCTGCAGGCCAAATCCGACCTGCTATCTGCTTTTGTATGAACTAAGTATTGTCATTATGTTGAGGGCCACAGCCGAGTCAGGATGACGCATGGCATTTTTGCCAGAAGTAGTGGTTGAGAGGTGACGCCAGCGAGCCATTAAGATGATGACTTTTGAGTTCTCGCGGAGTTCCCGTTGAGTTCCGGTTGAGCTCTCGCGGGGATTCCTGAAGAGTTCGCGTTGGTTGGAAAATTTCTGGGAGAGGGAGTTCCGGTTGGTGTGTGGTGTGTTCCTGGAGGAGCCGCGTGGGTGGCATTCGGGAGAGTTGCCGGGGAGTGTGCTGGTGGGGTTCGGAAATAAAGTTTGTTCCTGCTTGAGTGCTCGTGATTTGTGCCCAGCCAGACTGCGGCATCATTACACTTTTACAAAGTTGAAAAATAATAAAAGAATACTTCATGATATGAGAAATTTGTATGAAATTCAATTGCAAGGGAGATTTGTTTGAAAATTCAAGAATATTTTAATAGTCGAATATGAAATCTCATTCCACCAGATTTTATGTGAAAAATCTCAGGCACAGTTAGTGCTCAGTGAGAGGGACTGGAAATACAGTAGCTGGTACATTCACATAAGTGGGAGATAATCTCAAAGTCTTTGTATCCAGCTGCAACTGGAATATGAATAAATAATGTTTTATTGGAAGTTACCAATGGTCCCTATCTGCCCAGATTATTTAAGTTTAGAACTGATAGTCTTAAGTCTTGGAGAACTTATCAGTCTCAGACGAGGAAGATTTTTCACCTGGGTGGTTGAGTAGTTATGACAAAGACCACATGGTCCAGTGAAGTTTGAAACATTTGTTCTCTGGTCCTTGACAGAAAAAGGTTGCTGATACCTGATCAAGAAGACCAAGGGGCTGGGGTTGTGGCTCAGTGGTGGAGTGCTGGCCTAGCATATGTGAGGCACTGGTTTGATCCTCAGCACCACATAAAAAACAAGTTAATAAACAAAGATATTGTGTGTCCCTCTACAACAAAAAAAAAATGGAAAAAGAAAACCAAGAAGGTTTTAGATATCTATATAAACATACTGACCAGCGATATATAATAATAGAGCAACAGATAAGGCAAGACAACATAACTATACAATACAACTTCAGGAGCATGTGGATGGAGCTTCTTTATTTTCCCATTAGAAGTTGACTCATTTTAAAACTTAAACAAGATTGTGTCACTCTCCTGCTCAAAATCCTTCTATGGCTTCCCATCCCAATGGAAATAAGATCCAAGACCTCCCCTCCTTTCATCTGCACCTTACTTGCTCCACTACACCCATCTCCTTGTCGCCAGCCATGCTAAGTGCCCTCTTGCCTCAGGACCTTTGCAATTGCTGTTCCTTTTATCTGGACAATTGTCCCTAGATAAATATATGCTACACTTCTTCATTTATGTATCAATACAAAGTCATCTTTTTTTTTTTTCCTGGACCAGTGATTGAACTCAGGGGCGTTCAACCACTGAGCCATACCCTCTTTTTTACTTTTTTTTATTTTGAGACAGGATCTCACTAAGTTGCTTAGGACCTCAATAAGTTGCTGAGGCTGGCTTTGAACCCTCCTACCTCAGCCTCTCGAGCTGCTGGGATTACAAATATGTGCCACCATGCCTGGGGGCTCCAAGTGGCCTTTTTAGAGGCTTCCCCATCATCATAGAACCCTGTGCCACCTATCACTTGTCAGTATGTTTATATTCTGTGTCCATACTTGAAGGTCAGACATATGAGGACATGGACCTGACTGTATTTCCAGTTCAAAGAACAGAGATAATTGTGTGATGGGTTGGCATCAAATATTTACTGAATAAATCAATGGCTAGTGAAGTCAAGGATTTTTTTTATGTCTCCAGGATTATGTACCTACTCAATGGCTTGTATTATTGCTAATCAGTATTTCATTTTACCAATATTCATCCTGTTACAATTATGGAGTTGGCTGTCTCGGTCACTCACTGGCCTTGTTTCCTACCAAACACCTAGTCTTTGATCTTCTGGAATCTACCCTGTGTATCCCATACCAGATACCAGCCTGAAATGCTGCCCCTTCTCTCTTCCTAGGGATGCAGTCCATCCAGAGGTGGACTCAGGGTGATTTCTTCAACTCCCTGAAACTGGCAATGACAATTTATGCATAGATGCATTTTTCTGGGGTGAGGATCCAGAGCTGTCAGCTAATCCATAAGAGTCCTCAAGCCTCAGAAGGCCAAGGAGTTCTGAATTTAAGTGACAACAGTCCTGTGTCCACAGCGTCTAGTCTGTGGGGTGCTTTCTGCTCTCTGTACCTTGCCTTGCCTGCGTTCTTCCTGCTCTCATTGGTGCCTCCTTTCTGTCAATTTCTGAAACCATGGATTCAAGTTCAAAAAGGGACGTGACCTAAGCATGTGGCAAGAAGGGTCTTCAGGAAGGGTTTTGAGGAAGAGGGGTAACAGGTGGCAGGCAGGTTTGACCTTGGCAGGGAAGTCATTAGGTTCCAAGGCAACCTAGCAAAGAAGCGACACACCAGGCACTCTGCCTGCACTGACTTCAGCTGGACCCGCTCAGGTTCACCCTGCCTTGAGCAAAGGCCCAACCTGCCTGAAGCCACCTTCTTTCCTTCATGCAGGAAAATTCCTACTGAGTGCTCATGATAGGCTCCCTCCCTGGCACACAGAGATAAAATCTACCCCTGTCTTCAGGAAACTAGAAGATTGTACCCAAATGCAAAGAGGTGGATGTGCCAGGGGTTCTCTAAGGACATACACTTGGGGACTCAAAGGAGGATGTCCTGGAGAGGTGGCATCTGAGTGCAGGCTTGGAAGACCAGAGGGAAGTTATTCAGATGGAAGAGGAGGGGAAAGCCCTGCATGAGCTTTTGGGTGCCACTGCCTGAAATTCCCTTAGAAGTAACAATCTTTGTGTTCGCCTTTCCATAGAGGGGAAGAGTAAAGCAAATCCAAGACCTACTGGGGCGCCAGCGGTGGGGAGGGCAGGCAACGGGCACAGAGAAGGAGGCTGGGGACAAAAGAAAACACACTTCACCAGCAACCGCTGCGCTCCTGACCAGCATACCAGCATCACCTGGGAGCTTGTTAGAAATGCAAATCATCTGGCAAACCACAGATCCCTGAAATCAGAAACTCTGCTAGGGCAGCACCTGCGTTTGAACAACCTTCCGGGATTCGGATGCAGGCTCAGATTTGAAACCTCCGGGGTGGAAGCCTGGTTTACTGTGGTTCTCTTCAGTGTTTATTGAGAGTGACTGAAGCGATCAATCAACCAATTACTCCTCTTTGGAAGGGAAAAGAGTGCGTGTCCTCAACGCTGGCTGTATCGTTAGACTCGCCCCGAGCTAGAAAGGCCACGCCCCGGCCACGCCCCCCTAAGACCCTGCGAGGGACCCAGACGTGAGTGCTAAAGCACACTAACAACGCCCCGATGCTGGTGCAAGGGTGGAGCACTGCAGTAAAAGGAGGTAAGGTGCTGTGCTTTGAATGGCTTGGAGAACTTTGTTCTTAAACATGTACATCAGAGGTAAAGGTGCGTACCAAGTAACAAGTGATTTAGATAAATGGATCTTTTTTCCCCTTGGTACCAGGGATTGAACTCAGGTGCGCAGGGTCTCACTAAGTTACTTAGAGGTTTGCTAAGTTGTTGAGGCTGGTTTTGAATTTGCACTCCTCCTGCCTCAGCCTCCCGAGCCGCTGGTATTACAGGCCTGCTCCACCGTGCCTGGAAAAATGGATCTTTCTTCCCGCCCCGTCCCGCCCCCCCCCCCCCCCCCCCGCCCCCCCCCCGCCCCCCCCGCCATGATTTTAAAAAAAAAAAAATGGAGGTAGAGAGCTTTGGACAGCAGATACACAGTGTCCTCAGCAATGAAGTCTCCTTCTGGATGTCCATCTAATCTGCTCCTGGTGGCCACAGAACACTCATCTCCCCCAAAGGAAACACTTACAGGAAACCAAAAAAGTAAACAAAAGGAGGGCCCTGCCTAGCCCTATCCTCTCCCTCAGGAGGCCCCACCCAAACCCCTCTGATTAGATATCACTGTACAGAACTGTGGTATCTGACTACTCTTAGCAGCAAGGGAGTCTGAGTTGTGGCTGAAGCTTAGGTCTTCAAAATCAAAGAGAAGTTCGCCAGTGAGACCCCTGTTCACAGGCCCATCCTGGGCCACCCTGCCCTCCTCCTGGGTGGGAAAAAAGCCCAGTGGTCTGCTTCAGCCTTGGAATCTAAAAAGGAAAATAAGCTTGAGTATGGGCTTCTGCCCTGGAACATTTCGCAAATCCATGCTTGGTTTTTTTCTCCCAGGATTCAGGGTGTGGTGTGCTTCTTTGGTGACTTGGACAAAGATAAGCATTCAGACATGTCCTTGGGTGTGTGATACTGGCCACTTATGCCACCATACCTCAGTAAAAGGCTGGTGGCAATTGGGATGGTACTCCTGTGTGCTTTGTCCATAGCCACATGCCACTCAAACATAAGCCAGCACTCTACCTGGGCCAGTCCCCTGGTTGCTGCTGCATCATATCCTATCGCCAAAGTGAGGAAAAGTCAGCTCAAAACCCCAATGCTCAAGTTCCCCCCAGACCACTTCAGTCCGAAGCCCTGGGGTGCGACCTCATAGGAGTATTTTCTGAAGCCCTCAGTATTCCAGTGGCCAGCCAAGACTGAAGAAGTCTGGCTTAGTGGGCTGACGGGGGAGAGGTTCCCTGAGGAATCGGGTGGAGATCTAGAGAGAGCCCAGAGAAGGCATTTCTAGAAATAGATAAATAAATAAATGGCAAAAACTAAGGGGATTCGTCCAGTATTCAAAGGAAAATGTCGTATTTGCTTTTAAAAAATTGTTCTCCAGGAAATACTGACCTAAGAATCAAAGATAATGCCCAGAGTCCCCAGATAGGAGGGCAAGTGGAACCTCAAAAATCTCACCCACCGGGAGGATTTTTCTAGGCAGGCAGCCCTCTGCTTCCCCCAGGATATTTAAAACAGGACTTGACAGCAGAGGCTTTTGCTCCATCAGGCTTTGGGGGCTCCCTCTGCTACATAAATGAGTATACGGGGAATTTGGACTCTAGGAGGTGGAGCAGCCAAGACAGGGGACAGGAAGGCAGGGCTAAGTGGGATCATCTATATCTTCCTGTGTGGGCAAGGGGCCCAGAGAAGGCTTCTCCCTCATCTCAATCCTGTCCCTGGGAGGCAGAGGGGGAGAAGATGATTTATGGGCCCAGGACCACATCTAATTTAAATCCTCAGTCATCTGGGGCAGTGAGGGATTGGTTTGATTTATTGGTTTCCTGTAACACAGACATGGAGACAACAGTAAAAGCTGTATTGATCTTCAAGACCATATCATGAGGCACCGTTAGAAGGACATATAAATACAGATATAAACCGTGATAAAACAAGACCGTCTCTGGGGAAGCCATGGCAGTACCAAGTGAACTAATTACTGAGGGACAAATTTTCTGATGTCTGTTGATTCTGAGAAATATCTGGGGCTACTGTTTGCCAGATGATTTGCATTTTGGTTCCTACTCTTGAAATCCATCTGCCTGACCGGAACTGCCAGGGCTTTCCTACCACCAGCCACCACCACCCCCGCCCCCCCCCCCTGCCCCATTGCACTCTCAGTCAATGTAGGAACTGCCTCAAAAAAGAAGTTTCTGGATGCTGAAATGGATCCGCCTAGTTTGCTTTCCACATTGTTCTTCTTCCCTCTGTCTCTGGGTGTCTTAGTTCACTCAGGCTGCTATAACAAAACATCCTGGACTAGGTGGCTTATAAACACAAGTCTATGGCTGGAAGTCCGAGATGGAGTCAGCAGTGTCCCACTTCCTGATTTGTAGATGGTGTCTTCTCAATGTTTAAGCTCATGTGGTGGAAAATACAAGGGGTCTCTCTGGAGCCTCTTTTATGAGGCCCTAATCCCATGCATGAGGGCTCCACCCTTAGGTCCTAATCATCTCCCAAAGGCTCCACCTCCTAATACCATGATCGTGGGGGTTAGGATCTCAGCAGATGAACTTGGATAAACTCAAACTTCAGTTCATGGCATTGGGTCACTCTAGCTCCCCTGACGTGCTTCGGAGCCCCCCCTGGAGATGGTGCCTTGCTGGCTCAGAGATGCCTCAGGTGGTCAGGGGCCCCAGTCTCTGCTCCTCCCTTCGATTGCCACAAGGCAAGCATCTCCAGGTTCCAGCAGCTCAGCCCATGTCCACAACTAAGGCCCCAGTACCCATGAAGCCCACATAAACAGGCCAAGATCCCCGGCCAGCCAGCAAAGGCTACCTGGAGCCAACCCTAGCCTACTCCTCCTTCCTTCCTGGTGGAACACCTCCTTGTGTCCTTGTTTCTGAGAATTCCTCCCTGGGGGATCTCCTGAGAGTCTCCCCATATGGGCCCCCTTTCTTTCTTCTCTCTGCTGGTCCATCACCTCTGCTGATGCTCTATTCAAAATTCACCACTTTTAGAAAGATGGAAGATGACCGAGGAACAGGAAGTGGGAAAGCCTACGGATCAGAGAGGTACCTGTCTGAAACCAGCAATTCCTGGACCAGTTTTAGGCAACAAGAGACTTGATGCTTCAAAGTAAGTTTTTGAAAGACGTGTGGCACAACAATCAAAACTCAAATGCCAAGAACCCTGGAGTGGGCTGACAGAGGGCCTCTACAGGGTAGGCTGAGAACTTCTGAAAACTGAACCTTAAACAAAAATTATTACATAAACCATACATGGCATAATTTCTTCTCATTTTCTTAAATAACAACAATAGTGAAAAATACAGTTAATTTACAGTTGTAAGTCATTTTTCAGTAATGTTTTATTGTACTGTTTCCTCCAGTGAATAGTAAAATGATTTATGAAACTCATTTATCTATTATGAATGAAGTACAGATATTTCTACATGTAGGTCTTCTCTAAAAAACACAAGGTCTGGGGGTTGTAGCTCAGTGATAAAGCACTTGCCTTACATGCACGAGGCCCTGGGTTTGATTTAAAAATAAATCACTAAAATAAAGGTATCCTGTCCATTTATAACTAAAAAAATATTTTAAAACATTTTAAAAATACAAAGTTTTATAGCTACAATAATGATTCATATTTATGGAATGCCACCCTAAGTCAGTTTTTTTCTGTACATGAATTAATTTTCACATCCCTACAAGATAGGTATCATGACATACCCATTTTTCAGATTGGGCAATTGGGATTCAGAGGGATTGTTGCTCTCTAAACTCACGTAGCAGTTTAGTGTTAGAAGGGCCTGGAGACTCATTGCTCAGGCTGCCCTTCTGCTTTAGGAAGGTTTTCGGTCTAATAATTGTGCCAAGGATCCAGGGAAGCTAGATTTTAATTACATTTTCCTAAGGGAGGAGGTCAAACTTCTCCATCTGAGAACACCAGCATGGGTGGGGTAACATGCACAGATGGGTGAAAAAATTGATATCAAAGTGTCTTCTACATGCTGGTCATCTTCTAAATATTGAGATGCAGTAGTGAATAAAACAGGAAGAAAAAAATTTTGCTCACAGAAAAATGCCATTGTGGCATGGAGGAGATAGACAATTAAAAAAAAAAAAAGTCTGTTATGTCCCATGGCGATGACAAGGCACAAAGCAGAGAAGAGGTAAGAGGAGCTGGGGGAGGGGCCTGCAATCTTAAATAGGATGGTCAGGGAAGAACTGTCTGAGAAAGTGACCTATGAGCAGATACTTGAGAGGCACATTCCAGAAGATACAGAAAACGCAACCCCCCCCTCCCCCGCCCAAGGCTGGGGAGCTCAAAAGAGAGCGTGAAGACCAGTGTTGCTGGCGCTGAGCAAAGCATCAGTGAGACGAGGTGGGAGGTATTTGGGAGATCCGGGAGGATCCCATTGACCTGTGTGAGGAGTGTGGCTTTCGATCTGAGGGAGACAGAAAGCCACTGGAGGCTCTAAGAACAAAAGCAGCCTCTTATTACTAACACGGAATTGACTGCAAGATCGTGGTACAATTTTATTGGCAGAGAGCTCTTGGGACAGATTTTTCCATGAGACCGTTGAGGTCACTCTGCAGGAGGGCTGGACAGGGAGAAGGCAGCCTGGGTGTTGGCCCAGGCGCTGGCATGTGAGGCAGGTGTGCTACAGCAATGCATAGAGGGGAGAGATTTCCCTAAAACTCTACAAAAGGAACCTCAGGACCACCACGAGGCCAGGAAAGAGGGTCAATGAAGGGATTGGCAGACACCATCTCTACTTACTGCCACCTGCACCTGAGCCTGAACAGACTGGCCAGAAGTGCATGTAGAGGTGAAAGATGAGGATTGAATTGCCTCCCCCCCCCAGTACCTCAGAATACAATATTATTTGAAGAGATGCTGTTTTGCCAAGTTAGGCTGAGGTCATTAAGGTGGACCCTAATCCAATATGGCTGGGGTCCACATAGAATGGGAAATTGGGACAGACGCAGGGAGAACATATGTGAGGACAAGTTAAGCTACCACTGGCCACAAGACTACAGAGACCAGGAGACAGGCCTAGAGAAGAGCCTCTCACACCTCTATGCAGGACTTCAGCCCAACTGAGACCATAAATTTCAGTTGCTAAATCTCCTAAGAGTTGTGGCACTTTGTTCCTGCCTGGAAACAGTCCTGGAATGGCTCACAACAGCAAAACCACAAGCCACTACCTGCCATTCCGTGCAGGTATCATCAGAGGGGAGATAATGGGATGGAGGGGGATGGAGGAGGGATCTCCCTAGCAGAGTTGCTTCTGATACTTCTGGGCCATGAAACAGAAAGCCAAAAGACTGCTGGGTGTGGTGGTGCATGCCTGTAATCCCAGTAGCTTGGGAGGCCGAGGCAGGAGTCTGTGAGTTCAAGGTCAGCCTCAGCAACTTAGCAAGGCCTTAAGCAACTCAGCAAGACCCTGTCTCTAAATAAAATATGAAAAAGGGTTGGGAATGTGGCTCAGAGTTAAGTGCCCCTAGGTTCAATACACAGTACCAAAAAAAAAAAAAAGTTGAAACACTGGCTTTTCTTTTTTTTTAAGTAATTTTTTTTATTGTTAATGAACCTTTATTCATTTATTTATATGTGGTGCTGAGAATTGAACCCAGTGTCTTACACATGCGAGGCAAGCGCTCTACCACTGAGCCACAACCCCAGCCCAAAAGACTGGCTTTTCTTGAGGTGGAAAAAAAACTCTCTGAGATGATTAATCTATCCAAGACTATTTGGGCCTCTCATGAAAAGCAAAATAAAAAAAAAAAAAAACTTGATCAATTGACATAATTAATTCCTATAAATATTTGCATATCACATCATAAAATTGAAGGCTGGGCCCACACAATCCTATGGATGAAATTGGCTTCTGTCTTGGTTTTCAGCTTTTAAAAATTACCTCAGAACAAGGAGACTCTCAGTGATTTCAGATCTGCCTGGATTTTGGCAAACAGGTGGAAACTAAATTGTGTACTGGGAGACAGACAAAGGTTTTATGCCTCTTTAAAAAATTTTTTTTAAAAACTAGTTAAGCCCAAGTGGCATCTGCAGATCTAAATGGCAGAGAAAGGCTGCTCTGTTCCATTTGGCACACATGGTCCCCCCAGAGCAGAACGTATACAGAGAAAACTAGCAGGCACCGGGCTGGTGCAAGCCCCTCCCATCTGCCTCCAGTTGAACACAAGCCCAACACACACAAAGCAGGATGTATATTTAGAAAGGAGAGTGCTTTGTAATTAGAAAATAATGGTTACTTATTTTGGCATTCTTTTTAATACGACTCTGTTGAAACCCTTTGCTTTTATGAGGCTTGTCAGAAACACGGCTGGGAAGGCCGGGACAATGAGATACCATGAAATATTAATACAAGCCAGCCCTGCACACATCCAACGCTAGACCTCTCCAGAACACCATGCCTACTGGCAAGAAGTCATCGTGTGCCTGCCATTCTAATTAGTGACAAACCTGCCATTGAAAACACAGGCCCATTTTCATGAATCTTTCATTCGTTTTTGTGATCTGCCCATCACAGATCTGCATTGTCGAGCCCATCAGGAAACTGAGACATGTACATATGTGACCACCCTGCAGGCATCAGAAGGTACAAAATCCCCAGCTGGACCCACTGTGCCCTCCTAGCTCAGGGCTGGGCTGAGGAGGCATTGTATTTGGAGTCTTTCTAACGCTGCACCCTTATGGAGACCAGTGGGAGAATCCACTGAAACCAGATGGGTTGCAAACTGAACCAAAACCACCACAGTGGGGGATGAACATTTATGAGGCCCTAGAACCCCATCTTTAGTATAGGAGAGCCCGTTCCATGCTCACCCTGTTCACTGTGTAAGGAAACAGAACTTTGTTTCAGGACATAAGGGCTTGGGTGGCAGACAGATGGTCACACAGCTACACAGGACCATCCCCAAGAGCCTTGGCTGGGTCAAATCCCACTGCAGAGCCCCTTCTGTCTCTGAGCCTCCAAATGTCTGTAAACAGATGAAATCAGATTATGGTCAACAATACAGGCACTTTGAAAACAAAAACAAAAACCTATGCATCTGTGAAAGGAGCAGGGACATCCAGATCCAGGAGAAGCACACCGTGCACTGACTGCAAATGCACAAAATCTGGGAGCAGAAAATCCTTTCCCTCCAACTGTCCTCTCCAAGTCAGGATTCAAAGCCAGCTAGGAGAGGAGGGTGCCAGGGTGATTTTGCTCTTCATTTTATACCTTCCCATACTTGTGCTGATTTTTTTTAAACATAGAACTATAAATTATTACCAAAAACTGTCTGGTCTGTCAAGAAGGGTCTGGTTGTACATATATAGATAGATGATAGGCAGGTGGATAAACAGATGGATGGACGGATGGATAGAGAACCAAAACGTGCTATTTTTGTTTACTATTAAGGAACTTTCTAGAACTCTACTATTAAATGCATCCATATGATCTTTATGGGAATAGCAAGCAAAAGGTCACCTCATAGAAAGGCTGGAAATGGGTAAATTTTCTGAAAAAATATGAACTATAACTGACAAGGGTTTCTTCTTCAAATTTCTTTTTTTGGTACTAGAGATTAAACTCCGTGGCACTCAACCACTGAGCCACATCCCCAGCTCTATTTTATATTTTATTTAGAGATAAGGTCTCACTGAGTTGCTAAGTGCCTCGCTTTTGCTGAGGCTGGCTTTGAACTCATGATCCTCCTGTCTCAGCCTTCCCAGCCACTGGGATTACAAGCATGCACCACTGCGCTGGCTCAAATTCCTCTTTAAACAAAAATATCAACTATGCTGTCTTTTTTAACAAAATCCCTAGCTTGAGGAAATTATTTTAAAGCTAAAGAAGTCAAGAGTTCTCTAGTGAAGGCCAACTGCCCCTGTAAGAGGACTGCACACATGTTCCCCTCCAGTTTTTGCTTTTCCCAGAATGTTATATAGGAATACATAGGGAAGGAGACAGCACGCAGTCGGGGAGGGCAGGATCCCTGTGAGCTCAGGCCAGGATCAGCCCCTGCCTTCCCCTGCAACACGCTGTGAGTCAGTCCGGGGTTTAGGGAGACCAGAGTTAAGGAGCCGAGTAGAAAGTGACGGAACCTAAATTGCAATGTAAGAACAAGGGAAAACACAGACACGAATATTTTGTGCTCCAGCAAATCTATTAGGAAATGACTAAATGACTAAGTCCTGGGGGAATGTGAAATACGGCACAAATTCCAAAGAACAAGTGTCTATGATGACATATGCAGCTTACGCTTTTTGTTTAAACGTGAATTTGTCAAAACAGAAAATTGTCACTGGCTGTGTGAACAAGGTGGGAAGTGGCCTTGTGTTCCAGAAGCCACCACCCACAGCAGCAGCAGCATCGTGGACACTGGTGCAGCAACTTGACATTCATGATTCTGTTCCCATCACAGCTAGATATGTCTGGAAACCCCGATTAGGCAGGGACGAGAAGCATTGGGGCTTGGAACGGACCCTGCTCAGCACCAAGTCTTTGACAACAAAACCACGTGCAAATAGACAAAGAGGTACGTGACACCAAGTTGGTGCCAACATGCTGTGTGTACAGAGAGCGGACTGCCTTTGACGCTGACGACTGATGTAGTCTCTCCACGAGTCTGGTCACAAATCTGTCCCAAAATCACTTTAGCAGATGGCAGGTGACTAGTATAGAAGCATCTTGGGGCAGATTCTGGTGGGAGTAAGGACGGCCGCACACTCTGCAAGGAGTCTCCTGTGTGGGTGATTTTCACTCCCAAGCCCATGTGCTGCTGGCTGGAGGCCCCCGCTACTGAGGGGTGCTAGGTTTTCTTTTCTGCTGGGGTCCCGGGCTCTGGCTTCTTCACCGCTGTCTGAATTTTGCTTTTCCCGATGCTTGGCCTCTTGGGTTTCTGGGTGTTGTTTTGAAGGGATTTCAGCCCCAGCATTTTACAATACTTGTTACACTGGTGTAGTGCTTTAAACTGATCGATGAAGGTCATGGAACAGTTGCCTTTAAATCCTTTGTACCTGTAAGTTTGTGGGGAAAGGAAATGGATTTTAAAACAGGACACTTCACCAGTTTAGAAAGAAAATTCTGGACAAATTCCCAGGTCCCCAAGTCTCCCTCTCCACCTGCAGATTCACAAGATCCATCAGGAAAGCTGGTTGAAAGCTTAGACCTCCAGGGCTCTTGACAGAATTTCTAAGGGTAGCAGAGTATTGCTGCTTATTTTGTAGCTGGAAAGTGACCATGCATGTCTCTCTGCCAGCCACCAGAGAATCCCTGTGTTCCACATGCACTGACTCCAGGAACACTCCCTTAGAGAAGAACATGGCTGAACAGAGTGAATGTGCACACCAGCCATACAGTCGCCCAAGACTGGCACCTTCCTGAAATGGTCTTCCCTCTCACCACAGATGAGCTCCCTTGAATCCAAAGGAATTTGTACTTCAATGTGTGTCACCCATAAATAAACACTTAGAAGAAATCTGTTCATACACCTGCATGGCCCATCTTGCATTCACTTGGCCCCTGCCCATTGATGCATTCTGCACATGGCCACCAGAGTGACCTCTACAACACATGAGTCATGCCATTCCCCTGCTTAAAACTCCACTTCTGTTAAGATGAAGTCAAAGTTCCAACCCTGCCTGCAGTGCCCCTGGCTGGTCACCTCTCCCCACCCCTGACCTCCTTTCAGTCTTGGAAGTAATCACGCGGTATCTTCCAGGTGTCTCTGCCCAGACCATTCCCTCTGCAAGGGATGGCCCTGCTCCCTTCTCTTGTCCTTCCTGTCTTCAGTCCTCCACTTATTCTGCTTCCTCTAACAACCCTTCCTGACCTCAAAACCAAGCCACATTCCCAGCTGCAGGATATCCAAAGGGAGCACCTCCACCTCACAGCACTCTGACACGCACAATCTGACCTTGCCAGAGGAGGAGTTGCTTAATGTCTCTCCCTCCCTACACTGCAAACCCACGAGGGCAGAGCAGAGGCCAGCACCCTCTCCTCACTGGTATGCTCCCAACACCCAATCCAGGGAAACTCCACACCCAGAGGATGGTCTAAAAACAAACTCCGGGGTGGTTGTTCAAAGAGTTTTTTCAATGTTCTCCTGTTGTCTTGTGTCTGGGCTATGTCCTTGAAAATACAGACATATATGAGGAAGGGACAGTTACTTTCCTCCCCCAGCTTCTATACAGTACCTAGCCAAGCTCTGTGCTAGAGGGGACAGGTACAACAGAGGACAAGCAAGCTATTAACCCCATGTCACTTGTTGTCTAGGGAAGGAGACAGATGTCACATCATTATGGTGACATGCGATGCAGGTGAAGCACTTACTGCTGGATTAGTAAGACATTAAGCCTCTCTGATCTGCTATCAGTTTTCTCATCTTTAAAATGGAAAAAATAGTAACACCTAGCCCGTAGGGTTGTCGAGAGGATGAAGTAAGAGAATCCATACAAACTACCCAGCTCAACAACTGCCTCAACAGGACCCCAAAGCTCAGGAAACAAGGCCAAAAATGAACATGGAATGGCATCAAATTAAAAGGCTTCTACACAGCAGAGGAAACAATTAAGAATGTGAAGAGGGAGCCTACAGAATGGGAGAAAAATCTTTGCTAGGTACTCTTCTGACAGATAATTAATATCAAGAATATATAAAGAACTCAAAAAACTTAACACCAAAAAGGCAAATAAGCAATTAAATGGGAACTCAACAGGCACTTCTCAAAAGAAGACATCCAAATGGTCAACAGATATATGAAAAAAATGTTCAACAATTAGGGAAATGAAAGTGAAACCTACACTGAGATTTCATCTCACTCCATTTAGAATGGCAGCCGTCAAGAACACAGACAATAATAAATGCTAGAGAGGATGTAGAGAAGAAGGAACACCTTTACACTGTTGGTGGGATTGTAAATTAGTACAACCACTATGGAAATCAATAAAGAGGCTTCTCCAAAGACTAAGAATGGAACCACCATATGACCCATCTACACCACTCCTTGTATTTATCCTGAAGAATTAAAGTCATCAAACTATAGTGATATATACATACCCGTGTTTCTAGCAGCATAACTCACAGAGCCAAACTATGGAACCAGCCTAGGTGGTGGAACAGATAAAGAAACATGCATACCCATGGAGTTTTATTCAACCATATAGAAGAATGCAATTTTGTCACTTGCAGGAATATGGATGGAATTTGAGAGTATTATGTTAAGCTAAATAAGCTGAACTCAGAAAGTCATGTGTTTTCTATGTGGAAACTAGAGAGAAAAAATTAAAAAAAAAAAGTGGGGGAATCTTATGAGACGAGGAGGGGGAGGGGAGGAGGAAGAAGAGGAGGAGGAGGGGGAGGAGGAGGAGGAGAATGAGGGGGAGGAGGAGGAACAACCAAGGGAAGGGGAAAAGAGAGGGTGGGGGGAAATACTGAGGAACAATATTGACCCAAATTGTGTTGTTATATTGTGTGCATGCACAAATATGTAACCATAAATCCCACGATTACGTATAATTATAATGCACACACACAAAAAAGAAAAAACCCCACCTGGCTAAGTACTTGACACATAGAGAAGATTCAGTTGCTATTGGCCTTCTTATATTCATCACTATTATAAGCGGTGCAGATGCTGGGATCTTCCTGTGAAAGGATGTTAAAGTTGAGACCAAAGAATGAGGGATTTTCAGAGGAAAGGAGAGAAACAGGGTGTGCCTGGCCATTGACATGATTTGCAGGGCCCAGGGCAAAATGAAAAGATGAATTTCCTGTTCAAAAATAATGAAAAATTCCAGGAGAAAAACAACAGAGCATTAATCCAAACGCAGAACCCTTCTGCATGGGGGGCCTCGTGCTAGCACATGGCTGGCAGAACCACAGGGCTAGCTCTGCTGGGGTGAGAGTTCAGACCATTTCTAACTACCAAAACCAGACACAAATTGGTAAGAAGAAGTCTGCAACCCTGGCATGATGTAGATGCGATGGCTGTATGAAGAAGTCGGTGTCCACACAGCTGGAATGAAGGGGGAGTGGACTGTGCTCCTTTCCTACCATCCAAGCTGGGTTTGTGCCCTTTAGGTGTGAAAGCTCTTTCCTTTCTAGAGCTACAGTTGCATCCTGATGGGCTTGCTACAAATCCTGCCTGCCCTCTCCTCCTCCCTGCTAGGGCGTGCTCTGCCCTGGGGAGCCCACAGTCCATTTCTTTCTGAAAAATGACGTGGCCTCTATAAGTCAAGTTCATTTGTTGGGGGAAAAAAAGTCAAACAAAGACAGGAGTTGAATCTAGCAGAGTAGGGAAAATTCTCCTGCTAAGCATGTCATTTTTACATCTCTATCTTTCTCTATAGGAGATCCCAGAAAAGGTCGAAATGCCAGCCCTTCTGCTCTTTCTGAGCACGCCCTGGGGACACACGAGGCCAGCTGAGCCTGCTTGTCAGACACCATGGTAGCCTCTTCCCTTCTGCAGAGGCCTAATTGCTTCTCACCAATTCCCAAACATCTCAGACAAGCTGGGAATGTTATGGACAGCGACAGCCTCCCGGTTCAAGCACATCAAAAATAAGTCCTGGTCATTCATGTAAGGACTGCTTGGGGCTTTTAAACCTTCAAACATCTCATCTCTGCAAACATGAAAAACAACTACCTTATGCTGTGGCCTCCCAGAAAGGTCACGGCTTCCTCCTTTAAGCACTGCCTTGTGACTAGATGCTAATGCTGGGTAACAAGCAAGCCCTTATCTAATGGTTCCAACTCTGGAATGGAAAGAGCAGAGTTTGCTCAGAGGAGCATGACTTCTGGGTAGCCCAGAGAAGCACAGATCTCTTCCAGGAATCCAACTCCTTCCTTTTCTTCTGCTTAACCTTTTATCTTAGATCCTCAGAGAATGCTAATAGCAGACAGCAGAGACTCAACTCAGGGTTGACTGAGATGACCCCGTATGGGCACAGTAAGGCCCAAGGGCCAAGGCAGCCCTTCCCTCTCCCAGCCTCCAACTCCCTGTGAGTCCCAGATGGAGTATAATCTCCCTGGAGCCCTTTGGGCTCCATGCCACAAGAAGGAATTCCTCCAATCTTGTCCCTGCATCTTCCTAGATTTTCCATGGAATTAGTGGTGCCTCCACAGGCCATGACCTTTCCCAGGACATTGTGTTATATGCCCAGGACTCCTGTCCAGGGCAGGCTTTTTCTATTAATATTCAAGACCAAATGAATGGATCCCAGCTTCATTCTCAGATACTTAGTCTTGCCCAGGGTGGGTTTTTATATCCATTTCAGTACATTTCTTTCTTTCTCTATATTAGTTTGTTTTCTGTTGCTGTAACAAAAACCTGAGGCTGGATACTTTATAAAGAAAAGAGATGGATTTGGTTGATGATTCTGGTGGCCAGAGGATTCATACATGGCATTGGCATCCTGATAAGGATCTCCTGGCGGCATTATATTATAATATAGGAAAGTTGAAGGAGAAATAGTTGAGTTTTGAAGGGGCCAAGTATGTGGAGTGGCCTTCCTATATAACAACCCACTATCATGAAACTAATTTATTCCACGAGACCAGCATTAATAGGGCCCTACGTCCACAACCTAATCACCTTCCCTAGGCCCTGTCTCTTAAGGATCCCACCTTCTCAACACCACCACACTAGAGACCACTTTTCAAAAAGGTGAACCTTTAGGGGAAACACTCAAACTACATCCAAGCCAGTGTATTCCCCTTGTAACGTCGGACTTTCCATTTGGCCTCTCGGGTAACAGCAAACTTCTGTCTCACAGCTTTTGTGGATTTGTTTGTTTTGGGGCTTGATTTTTGCTTCCCAGCATCTACAGAATTAAGACTCTTTCTCCTTCACTTCATCTCTGCCTCAGCCAAGAGGTTGGGCCTCTGCTTTGACCTATTGTTCTCTCAAAGCAGCAGCCATTACCATGCTTGCTTGGGAGAAAAACAGAGTGGTGTTCTAATGTTTCTAGGCCAGTTAACCCTGGATTTATTCAAAGTTCAAGTTCGGCAAGCTCTCATCTACCCAAGCAATGGGAAACACAGTCCTCCTGCTGGGGCCCACTTTGCACGCCACACATGCCATCTGTTGCCCTCGGGACTGGAGGTGACCACAAATCTGGACATTCATGATAGCTCTGTTACATGGCCATCACTGCAGAAATGCACACTGTTTTTCTTGCTGGCTAGATTATGGGGTTGAATGGCATCCCCCAAAGTCACATACTTCCCAGAAGCTCAGAGTGTGCTGTTATCTAAGAAATAATGTTGCAGATGTCATTACTTAGAATGAAGTCATCTTAGAATAGGCAGGGCCCTTAATCCAGTAAGACTGGCATCTGTACAAGAAAAGATAGAGGCACATGAGGAGAAGGCCACATGACGTGTGAGGCAGAGATTGGGGTGATGCGCCTACAAGCCAAGGAACACTGAGGACTGGGCACCCATCAGAGGCTGGGAACAGGAAGGAACAGCTCTTCCTTAGCCTCTCCAGAAGGAACCAGCCCTGCCAACACCTTGCTTTCAGACTTCTACCCTCCAGAACTACAAGACCATAAATTCCTAACAAGTTAAGCCTTTAAATGGTGGTGAATAATTACGGCAACCCTAAGAACCTAATACAATGGATTGAAGAGTGTGGATTTGGAGATTTTTTTTCCCCATATATTTCCATTTTTAGAAACCTTAGCTCTGCTGAATTGGACTAAATTTAACTATCTTTAACCTGTGATTAGCATAATTTCCTAACCTACCTCTATTTGTTTGTTTAACTAGCCATCCTCTCAGAACCCCTGCAGTAGAACAATAAATGTATTCCTGGCTGAGAGTGGTGCAGATTACCCAGAGATCTTGTTAAAATGCTGGTCTGGATCCAGTAGGTCTTGGGTGGGGTTTGAAGTTTTGCATTGCTAACAAGCTCAGAGTGACCCAGGGCCTCACTTTGAGTCACAAGGACAAAAACTACTCAAAGTCTTGAGAGATCTCAAATCATTCCCATTTGACCTTGGAAAGGTCTTTACCTTTAAAGCAGGACACAGGCACAACTTGCAGCCTGCATCAGACAACATAATCAAGTCACACTGATGTTCTACTTGAGGAAGAGGTAAGTAGGTGCCTGTTTCCACAGTCCTGTGCTCACTCAACCAAGTGTTGACACTTGCTTTGTGTTAGACGCTGTGTGAGACCATTTCTTGCTGGAAAATGATTTTTCTCTCTTCTCACCCTGATAAAGGATGGCTCAGACTTGCAGACTCACAAACAGCACCACTGGACCGTGCAGCTGGCTTTCCCCCAGTTGGTTTGCTCCAGGCTTCCCTCTGCAAGGGATTGCCTTCATACACAGCCAGAGTGGGAGGGGCGAGAGCCGGCTGCAGAGCTGCTGGATTCTGGCCATGATGAAGAAAGCAATGTTCCTGAATTGATTCATAAAGGGCTCACTTTAAGAAAACTTAATAAGGCAAGAAAAAATCTATATAGAAGGCCCCCCCATAAGTCAATAACCCTTTTAGAAGCAAGCTGGAAAGCTGTTTATAACAGTTTTAGTTCATATCCTTTCTGAAAAAAATTAATATATAGGAAATGGCTACAAGGGCAAGGAATTCCATTTGAGGGAGCAGGTTAGGTAAAACAAAGCCCAACTTTGGGGTGTGTGTGTGTGTGTGTGTGTAGGATAAAGCCAAGGCTGGATTTGTGCATTGTAGGACAGATTGTCACTTATAATGTAAGGAGAAAGATGAGAGAGGTCTCCCACTATGGAAACATCTAGTAATTCCTGAAATTCCATCAATACCTTTCATTTCTTCTTGTATATTGATTCACTCCTTCATTCAACAGGCACCAACCATATGTCAGACACTATAGGAAAACTAGAGGGGATCATTGAGCTACGTGGCTCTTTCCCAGACACTGCCATCTTGCAGGGCAGACAAACACACCAACTAGTATTGTTAGTATTCTGTGATAAACTGCTGTAGGACCCCAGAAGATACAAGTTTTCACACTTCCTCATGGATTCTGAGAAGGTTTCACAGCAGAACCATGGCTTGGGGCTCATGGGGCTCAGCACCATCAGTTCACAGCTTGCCCTCAGCAAGAGCGGCTGTTTTGAGGGGGGTAAGGTTGGAGGACCCTTGTGAATCAGCCATTTTTTTCCCCCTGTGAATTGGTTCTTCCTAAAAATATGTTCTAAGAAGCAAGAATCCCACCAGATGCTTTGAAAAAAAAAATTCTGTGATGTAAATTCTGTGAGAAATGCATTGTAATGGAACCACATCTGTGTTTTCTAGAGAAGTTGTGTTATAAGAGTCTCTTTGGACAGGTGACCTTCAGCAACTAATCTCTACAAACTCCATGGGGACTTTAACAATTTAGATCTGAGGTGACCCCCAAAAGCTCATGTATGAGATAATGCAAGAATTTTTATAGATAAAAGATTCAATAATAAGTGCCTTGACCTAATCAATGGATTAATCCACTGATGTGGATTAACTGGGTAGTAGGCAGGAAGGGTTTGGCTGGGGGAAGCAGGTCCATGGGGGTTTGCCTTTTAGGTTGATATCTTGTCCCTGGTGAGAGGAGTTCTTTGCTTCCTGACTGCCGTGTCTTGAGCTGCATTCCTCCAACACACTCTTCCACCATGATGTTCTGCCTCACCACTTCCAGCCTAGAGCTGTAGGGTCAGTCGACCGTAGACTGAACTCTTTTTTTTTTTTTTTTTTTTGGTATCAGTTATTGAACCCAGGGGTACTTAACCACTGAGCCACGATCCTCAGCCCTTTTTATTTTTTATTTTGAGACAAAGTCTCACCAAGTTGCTAAGTGGCTGAGGCTGGCTTTGAACTTCTCATCCTCCTGCCTCCGTTTCCTGAGCTTCTGGGTATATAAGGTGTGCACCACCACACCTGGTTAGACTGAACTTCTAGAAACCATGAGCCAAGATAAACTTTGCCTCTTTATGTTGTTCTTGTCAGTGTTTTAATCACAGTGGTGAAAAAAGCTGACTAAGACAGATACCAGTTCTGGCCCCACCATCCCTCCCTGGCCTGTCCAAGTCGGCTCTTAGTGTTTGGCCCTGGCTTCGTGCCTCATCCAGACAGTGTGTTCTCCCATGGTCACCCGGAGTGTGAATCAGATCAAGGTCAAGCAAGTGCTGCAATGTTCCATCTTCCTTAGTACAAAACCTGGGCTCACAGGCTCCCTGTCCCTAGCTCCTGCCCACTCTCTGCCCTCATCATCCAGCCCCATGGCTCCTCCCTCGGCCTCAGTCTAAGCAACAGCCTGGGCTGCCTCCATGGAAACCGGCGCTGGTCCTTTCTTCCCTCAGCTACCCAGCTGGAAAAAAAGCAGAACGCTGTGAGTTTCCTCCTTTTGCATAAACATGAGAGAAAGGAGGAAAGGGCACCCGGCCCGCTGGCGAGAACATCCTAGAATATCCCAGCACACAGCAGGGCTCCTGTTCTTGTTGCTGCGGAAGCACCCCCAACCCAAGGGGAGCTCTATGATGGGAGCCCTGGGGAAGAAGAGCAGAGCAGGGCCCGGAGGAGGGGGAAGGCAGTCATCCAGCCCCTTCTTGAGGTGGCACGTGTTCTGTCCCTGTGAATACGCAAGAAGCAGAGAGTCCACTCCTTGTCTGAAGCTGAGACTGGAACCAAGGGCAAAGAACCAAGGAGGGGACAATGGAGGGAAGACAACCCTCAAATAAGCAGTCTGAGGGTCATCCATTGTTCCAAGCCCAGGGTGCTGGTTCCCAAGGTCACCCTCCTTCCACCTGCGGCAGGGAGCCTCTAGGGCCACAGACAGCGAGGGCCAGGGAGGGCCAGGGAGGAGGGTGCTGGAGTCCCTCAGGCACAGACTGCTGGAGATGGCACCCCTCAGGAGAGCACCTGGCTGACGCCTGGACAGGTTAAGGGTGGGGGACAAGGCCACATTTCCAGGGTGTGGCTGGCTGGACAGCGCTGATGCCTGGCCTTCCTTACTGACAAGTTCCAAAGTCCTCAGGGAGACAGACCACTCCAGTCATTAGTCCCCTTCTTTCCTCCAGAGCTCCTGCCCTTTTGCTTCCAGCAAGTGCCTGACTCCCTTACACACACACACACACACACACACACACACCACCTCCTTTTCCAGCCCTTTCCTCTAGTGACAGATGTGTTGAGTCCACCCCCTCCTAGAAGCACCTTCCTCTTTGATCCCTGTCACCTGGCTCCCCGCCCCTGCCCCCTTGCACTTGGCTTTGACTGTTCCAAAGGCACTCTAATGTTTTGTTTCCTTTTTTAACATCTCTGGTCTTTACCCAGTCCTGTCTGCTCAGCCGCCCCTGTGCCCTCCTCTCAGCTCCCTCCTACTGGCACCCAGCCTGTTTGCAAGGGGCAACCTCGAGACCTCAGTCTTCCCTCAGATGTTCTTTCTGTTCAGCTTTGTCTCTGAAACCATATGTCAAATGGCAAGAAGCCATCTGTGAGTCTCTTGCAACCTCAACTGGCACCTTCATGAGTGCTTTCCCTAGTCTGCCCAGCTCCACCCCCTCTCACCAGAGCCTTTGTAAGGGTGTGACCTTGAAATTGAGACTCCTTGTCTTCCCCTCTCCAAGTCAGTGTAGGCCCTTCCTCTCCAACATGCCGGTGACTTGTACTGCGTGAAGCAGCTGGGGGGCTTTTATCCCCGCCATTTGCAGTCGCTGTAGGCTGCCTGGCCCTGGGTGGAACTCTGGCCTGTGAATGTGAACCTCTGTCGGGACCTTCCCACTGGGAGGACAGAACGGGGCAGGCAGAGGTCAGTAGAGCCTGCCTTCTCAAAACAACTGTCCCCCAGGTGTGCCTGCCTCGATATGTGGGCCTCTGTCACCTCCCCTGTGCCTTTCGCGATTCTGTCCAGGCCTCCTGAATGTGCTTTCCATGTCAGGGACGCCTGACACTCGCCACACATCCTTAAGCTTCATCCAGTTTTTCTTCCAAGGCTAGAAAGTCCCAAGCACTGGCTGGTAGCCACACAGAGGGGCGTCCTTGGTGGCTATTCATGTCCATCTTCTTTTGGTCATTGCTTACTGACTGGGAAGAATTCTGCTTAGAGTGGTGCTCTTTGTTTTACTCAACCCAGCAATATGAAACTGGCTGGGTTTTTTCACTTTTTGTTTTTGTTTGTTATTGTTTTGTTTAGAGACTATGGAGGACAAAATATTGGCTCTGCTGCCCTCTGGTGGCTGAGTCCCTATCCCACCTTCTCCCCAGATCTCAAGCACTGGGTTTTTGCAAAGTCCCCTCTGACCTGTGTGTGTTTGCTCTCCTCCTCATTGCTTTACAATGGTTTGGGGTTGGTTAGGGTAGGTTTTCAAGTTACCAGTAACTTCCCTTTATTTCCTTTAAAGAACTGAACAATTTCAAATCAGAAGCACCTTAAAAGGTCCAGTTAGTATCATAGGTGTAGGTGGAAAATGGATCGCTGCGTGTCAAAACAGTCACACTCTGTCACTTGAAACTTTTGTACTCAACACTGCCAAAAGATGAAGGGTGTCAGAGGTGATGTGCCTCTGGACACGAACATTATCTCCTGCTCCCAGGAGAAATACGACAGGTGTCTGTCTTAAGGATCATACTACCAAGTAAAGTTGAATTAAAATGAGTAAGTCATGGCAGTTCCCTGTTTTCTTTTTGAGATGATAAGTAGCTTATTTACTCCCCAAATAGCATCACAACCTTGGACTTCATTAAACAAGAGAACAAGGCAGGTTGCATTTATTGGGGGGTCCTGCTAGAGACGTGGTGCAGATACATAGGGAATATTTTCTTTGACACAGAGCTCTGCTACTCATGATGGGTTCACGCAGCAGAGACCATACACCAACCTTCCATAGAACTCCATAGAACTAGCAGCTCCCCCTTTCTAATCTAAGCTCACCAGAACATGCTTGCCCGGTCCTATTCACGCATCTCCTCTCCTGCACTCTCTGGAAGCCCTCTGCAGTCTGCCATTCTCTTCTCTGTCTTTCCCCTGTGCACTGGCATCCCACTGGGTCATTTCCCATCCTGTCTTCAAAGTGCCTTTGAACTTAAACCCTTTCCAAATCTGTAGGCATTGTTTTTGGACCATTTCGTGGATTTGGCTTTCTTTGGAGAATTGCTTCAAATCTTGCCTCCCAGCATTGGGAATCTACCCTTTAACCTCAGATGCTCCTTGCTTACCTCTTCGCTATCAGGGGCACCTGCCCTACCCCTCTTCACCAGGGAAGTGCTGGCAGTGGGCGTGGCCACCGGATTTCATTGCAAGCACAAGGGCTCTGAGGAACTTGTCAAGGGGCCTCTCAACCAATCCTAGAGGAGTACCCTGCTTTTATCAGTTTTAAAAAAACAGGCTTCTAAGATAGTTTTGTGGGGAGAAAGAAATCTGTGGCATTAAAAAAAATCGTAACTTTTTTCTTGAAATGTTTAAAAAGTTTTTTTAAAAACAGACAAGATGATCTAATATTCCTTTCAAAGCTCTCAAACATTCAGCAGTCCCTTGTCCCCCATCTCTGCCAGTCCCTCAGACCTCTCCGTGGGTGGGCAGACAGTAAGTAACACTTTACAGGCAGTATTTCTCCCTGGGCTCCAGTCATCCTGCTTCTAATGGGTCTTGGGCAGCTGTCCCAGGCCAGATAAGTCACATTAAAGCTGAGAACAAAACCAAAGGCTTGGGTTTCTTTTTAAATGAGGAGCGGGGAAAATGTGCCACTTGAAGCTCTCAAATGGTCTGGGTTCCTGGAAACTGCTGATGTGCTTTGGAAAGATGTCTTAAATCATCACGCTCTTAGGTTCATCCTAGTCTGGGGAACTCTGGGACAGTTTTCTGCTTTGTTTTGATAGGAGGTTGTTCTAAATAGTGGTATTCATTTGCCTGCACTGGTGTCAGGCTGAGGAATTAGAGGGGAGAGAAAATTAGTATTTATCTAGATTACGCGGAGCTTCAGGGTCTAGATGTAGATTAGCTGGAGAACCCTGAGGGCAAGCCCGAGTGTCCCCATTCTGCAGACGAGTGCCTTCCAGAAGGCAGTGTCACATTCCACACAGCTGGAATGATGGGAAGCCAGGGCTCAAACCAGGTCTGGCCAATGAGGGTATTTTCCATGTGCTGCAGAGAACATAGAGATTTAAAGAAAAGCTCCTTTTGGGAAATTCCCCCTTGGGACCAGTGACTTTCATAAATAGGGTACCACTGAATTTATCTTCAAAATGTGAACACTTTCAGAACAACGCTAACGTGGATGGAAAGCAAGGACATCAGACACAATGATTCTGTCCTGGGGCCACTAGCGCACCATCTTATTGATTTGTATTTCTGATGCTTACTGGCTCTAGAAAGACAGCCCCTGTTAGGGATAGCCACTCCCCGAAGATAGTAAGTGACTCTTTTTCCAGAGCACTTTCATATACAAACCAACTGATCCAGAGCCCAAGCCCACCACCTCCTCCATCAGCTTTAACACTCGGAGCACCATGTACCTGCCTTTATCACCGCACGACAGGTACCAGATAATGAGGGACAACACCTATGCCCCCTAGCCCATTGAAAAATTTCAAAGTAGCTAGGCCGGCTTACCCAACTTTGTCCAATCTAAAAAAAAAAAAAATTAAGGTTCTTACCCATGTTTCCTCTTACTTCCTCTGCGTCCTTACTGCCCCTGTGTATTATGCACCCTTCTCCTGGAAACTGTGAGCAACAAACTAGTTTTCAACCATGGTTGCATCCTAATCCATTGGCTTCACCATACCTAATCAATAATAAACCTGCATGTTTAAAACAGAGGTCATCCCCTCCAAAAGCCATCTGCCTCTTCTTCTTCTTGCAGAGGGTCTTAAAGAGCAGTCAAAGGCACTGGCCACTCCAACAGAGTTTCATTCTCACCAAGAACCACAAACAGCCAGCTTGGTCCTCAGTAAGGGTCAAGTGAAGCAGAGGGAAGGGACAGTTGTTTAGATGATTTGCTGGTAGAAAGTTCTTATAGTATCATCCGTGCCAGCAACTGAGCAAAGCAACACTACACTAAATTAAATGGACAAATGAACTAAACAGACACTTCTCCAAAGAAGAAATATAAATGGCCAACAAATACATGAAAAGATGTTCAACATCTAGCCATTAGGGACATAAAAATCAAAACTACACTAAAATTTCACCTCACTCCAGTTAGAATGGCAGCCATCAAAAATACAAACAATTACAAATGCTGGAGGACATGTGTTAAAAAGGAACATGTTTACACTGTTGGTGGGATTGCAAATTAGTATGACCACTATGGAAATCAATATGGAAGTTCCTCGAAAAACTAGGAATGAAACCACCAAATGACGTAGCTATAGCAGTCCTTGCTATTTGTCCTAAACAATTAAAGTCATTATACCACAGCATTACATGTTTATCCATGTTTACAGCAACACAATTCACAATAGTCACATTATAGAACCAGTCTAGGTATCTGTCAATAGATAAATAGATAATGTGGCATATGGATAAAGAAAACACACTATATATACTCAATGGAGTTCTACTCAGCCAGAAAGAAGAATGAAATTATGTCATTTGCAGGAAAATGGATGGAACTTGAAAGCATTATGTTAAGTGAAAAAAGGCCAAACTCAAAAGGCCAAAGGTCATGTTTTCTCTCATGTGGAAGCTAGAGAAAAAAAGGGGAAAAAAGTGAAGAAATATCATGAAAAATAGAAGAGAAACCAGTAGAGTAGAGAAAAAGGTCAGGTTTGGGGGCAGGGGGAGGAAGGAAAAGAGAGATACTAGAGAATGAAATTGACCAAATTATAATGTTATATTGTGTGCATGTACAAATATATAATGATGAATTTCACTATTATGAATGATTATAATGCACCAATAAAAAAAGAAAATACATGAATAAATAAATTATGGAAACAAAACCACAATCAACAACAGCTCTTTGGCAGCCATTAGCTCCTGCAATAATCATCCTAGTGTCTGTGAGTGTCTACAGTAGTTTTGGAGAAATAACTTGATTAAAAATATACAAATTGAATTTACTATGCTCAACTGCAAAAAAAAAAAAATATATATATATATATATATATACACACACATATATACATATCATATATGTATATATGCCTTTAAGGAGCTTTTAAAAGTGAAGATATTAGATGTATAAAAATGGAATATTCATAGTTAAAAGACATCCCCCCAAAAATTGCTGGCATGTATCCCTCCATGACATCCCTGTGAGTGATTAATCTAGAAATGTGTTTGCAAAAGTTCTTGTTGGTTTCAAAGTTAGGAAACAAATGTGTTTCCCTGCGAGAACAAAGTCCATAAATATTTTATGTAAGTGAGAGAAGTGAATTGAATTCATCCCAAGAACATTTGTCACCCACAGTGAGGACCAGAAATCCACTCTGCCCACATCAGCCTCACAGTGTTTGCCCGGAAGGTATTTGGAGGCCTAGTGTTAATGACATGCTCTCCATTTTATATCTTACTCACCCTTTAGCCAGTGTTGCTATGCCAACGTCAGTTAACTTCATTCCTACACCTATGGGAAGAGAAAGCAAGGACAGTTTGAGTTACTCAGGGATACTCAGAAAGGATCAGGGATCCACTCAGGGAAGGGGTAGAGAGCTCCAATGTCAAAATAGCTCCCTTCCTGCAGAAATTCACACATTCCTCCTGGTTTCCACCTCCAGAGGCCCAGAGACTGACAGCCTTTCGACATGCACCCTATCTCAGGGGGTGAAATGGGGAAGGCAGACCCCTGATGCATCAGTGCCTGTGACTCAAGTTTTGCCTGGCTCGTCTCGCCCCTGGGATGAAGGAGGCTCAGCTGCTCTCTGATGCATCTGAAGTCTGTCTCTTTCCGTGAGCCTCCTCCCCAGAATTACTCTGACTTGGGCTTCCTCTGGTTCCTAATTCCTCATTGAAAGTGGAAACCCTTACACAACGGAAGGACAAACAGTCATGGGCTGTGGTGGTCAAAGTCAACAGTGAGAAAATTCAAGGTGACATCTGCTTAGCTCAAAGCCAAACCATGTTCCCATTTCCAAGAACATGGTTTCCCATCCACAGCTGAAGATTGTCTGGATTGGCTTTAGGCCCAGAGTTCTAGTCTTTTAAATAGTGGCCTGGGCATGCTGACATTTGGGATCCATGGTCTGCCCCTTTGGCACTTGCCCTAACCTCTATTCATTGAACTGTGGTTGGTTGGCAGGGAGGGTACCAAACCCCAAACTATAAAACAGCTACCTGAGCTACCAGCTCAGCAGAGAGCCATAGGTGTTTATGGTAGAATCCCAAACACACAACAGGGGCAGCTGGAAGAGTACCCAATAATGAAAGGAGGATGGACAATCTATTTCCTTCCACCGTGAGGAGGGCAAGAACCCGACTTTCTGCAGCAGAAGAATCACCTGTTATGGTTTAGGTATGAGGTGTCTTTTGTGCTCGTTTGTGAGACAATGCAAGAATTTTCAGAAGTGAAATAATTAGATTGTGAGACCTAATCAGTGGATTAATCCACTGGTATAGATGAAGTGGGTATGGCTGGAGGAAGTAGGTCATAGAGGGCATGTCTCTGGGGTTTATATTTTGAGCCGAGCTTCTCTCTCTCTGCCTCCTGGTTGTTCTGTCCTGTGCTGCTTTTCTCTGCCAGGCCCTTCTGCTAGGATATTCTGCCTCCCTTCAGGGCCTAGAGCCGTGGAGTCAGCGGACCCTGGACTGAACCTTTGAAACTATGGGCCAAAAGAGACTTTTCCCCTCACGTTGTTCTGTCAGGCCTTTTAGTCACCGACTCTCAACATCTGACTGAAGCACCCCCCTTGCTCACTCTGCCCCACCTCATCCTGCATCTGTTACCTCTCCCTGATCTAGCAGGAAGAAAGGACACCTCTCTGATGCTCAGAGTGTGGAAGCACCGGGGCCTTTCTAGCATATTTCCCCCCTAACCAAGTACCCATTCTTTTCCTGTCTTTCCAGGGTGGCTCCTGCCCCAACCCAGTGGACCCCACCTATGTGATCTAGTTTTATCACAGGGCATAGCATCCAAAATGCCACCCTACCAGCATCTGATCTGCTGGATGACAGGCGGGGGTCTTCTCCTCTCCTCTCTCACCTCTGACTCTGGTTCTATATGGGCCAGGCTCTAAGGACCAGTCTTCCACCACCAGCTGATGACCTGGCCACAAGAAGGCCAGCAGCCTATAAACCAGTCTGGCATGTGCAAGAAGGAACGAGTGTCTCCCACAAAGCCAACCCTGAGGATCATATCTGATGACAATCTAGTTCTAGGGTTCTCCATCCCAGAGGCCCAGGAAAGGAAAGTTTGAAGGGTAAACGCTCTGATTCGGCAGTGTCTGCTTGAAGCACGTCAAACCATGGGACATGCTGCTTTTCAGACTGGTTAGTCAGACAGAAGCAATGAGCCGGGCTTTTCTGGAGTGCACCTGTGAGCTAAATTAGACATGGCACTTTGGGGGTGCCAGCGAGCATTTTAAAAGCCTCTTTCACAGTTGGTAACTAATTCATCTCATTTTCTGAAAGCTGCTAACCACTTAAACATATGTAAAAATACTCAACATGCTTTTATTATGGGGACTGTTTTTTTTTTTTTAAGATATCAAATTGCAAAAGCTCTCTTTGGCCATCTTGTTTCATGGAAAGTATACTTAAAAATCACAGCTCTAAGTTGCACAAAAGTCTAATTTTTAAAGTCATTTGGCAAAAGGTCCTTGAACTTGGAGAATTGTTCTCCCTTGCTTCTCACAATTACCAACTGTCATTTTCAGTTTAGAAAAATAGAATATAATCTTTAAAAAGAAACTTCTCTCTCTGGGTTTAATAATTTGTCAGCAATTCAATCAAGGTTATTAACAATCACTAGAGAACAATGAATTAAATTCCAGCGTGCAGCTATTAAACTGAGCTGTGGATAATAGTGACCCACAGGTTGTTTCTGGTAGAAGGAAGGAAGTTGGCAGCACCAGGAGTCTATTATCCAGAATTTGAGTTCTTGGGTCTTTCTGGCTCCTTAGAAGGCCTAATGATCTTACCAGTGAGCCAGGTCTTGGTTCCAAATCACAGACCCACTTTAACCCCACAAACCTGCAGGCCCCAGCACAATCCTATAAACAAATCAATGCACCAAGGGATGGAATAACTTTTAAGTGTTCAAGAAGAGGATGATTGATTTTGGGGTTTGCTTTAATTCTAGTTCCAATATCCCAGTAAAATTATAAGAAGGGGGAGATATTACTTAGAGAATGGATGTGTTATTTCATGCCACATTGGTAGTGACAATAAAAACATTTTTTTCCCAGCAGCAAAGTAAGTAGACACCATTATGAAATTCCATGCCAGCACATTTAATTGCACACATCATTTACAGAGAGATGTAATATTTCACTATAGTTGTTTACTAGTGCCTAAAAGCAAAACTAGCTGTGCATGAAGCTCCAGGGCATTGTTTTTCAGTAGACAAACTCTATTTAATGCAAAATAAACTCTGAAGGAGGAAAGATGGTGGGGGGTTGGGGAGGCAACAACTATACCAACAGAGTCTAACTAGCATGAATAACCGTTAAGACAATGTTTCTGGTGTGTGAGCGTGTGGCAGCCAACGCTCTTCAAAGACTGAATGGTTATGGCTTACCATAAATTTGCATATCTGCCCATCTGCAGGACAGTAATGTTGCAGTCCTAGTTGGTCTGCAAGGAGTCTCCAAGTGGGCTTAGGGGGACAAAGGACAGTGTGCATGCTGCTACCTTCTAACATCAGAGGACACTTGGAAAGATTGGGAAGTAAATCTCTTGCAAATTTGTTCATTTGTGGTGTAGTGGGAAAGCTTGCAATTCAGAGTCAGAGAATATGGGTTGGAATCTTGGACCGACTTATTAGCGGAGTGGCAGCAATTAAATCACTGCTTCCCAGCCTCAGTTTTCTCATCTATAAAATTGGGATCCTGGTATCTTCTTTGTAAGATTATTATAAAGATTAAGTGTATGTAGAAATCAGTGAAATCCAAGTCAAGTCTATAGTCTAGTTAATTATGCTGTGCCAAAGGCAGTCTCCTGATTCTACAGACAATGTGCTATAGTCATGTTAGATGTTGTCATTAGACAAAGCCGGATGAAAGGTACATGGGGATCTATATATATTGCAAATTTTTGTGAATCTATAATTATTTCAAAAATAGGGAATATTTTGCTATGTGGCCATGCTGCAATAAACATTTCAGTATCTCACTCAATCCTCACAACAACCTCACCTGGAAATACTGAAACAGAGAAGTGAGTCATTGACCAAAGGCTGACAGCTAGGAAGTGGCAGGAAGGACACGTGTAGACAATCCTGTTCTCACTCTAGCCACTTCTGAACACCATGGTTCCATGGGCAGTGCCACCACCAGCATTTCTTTGCCCAAGAACTATCTCTGCCCACTCTTTGCCCAGCTTGGCTTGCCCAAATGTCAGGCGGGTGTGCAAACAGTTAAGGTCCCTATGAGGGGCAGCCTTCAGCTGGTGCAGTGGGAGCTGGAGGATAAACACTGGGTGGTTCTAGGAAGTGCACTCTGCACAGGCTCCTGGCAGAGCGACTCCCGTTACCCACGGCAGTAACTGGCTGTGTATCCATGTGCCCTGTCAGCTGCCCATCCCTCTTTAGTCTCACTTCCTCACTCCTCTGTGTTGTTTCCAGGGACATCCCCCCACCAATGGCTATTTGTACTCAAATACAATGGCCTTCAGGTCCTTCCTCTGCATCTGTAGCTTCCTCGTCTTCAAATTCACAGAAAATATTCCTCCAAAACTGAACCTCTATTGAATATGTACAAAGGGGGTTTGTTTGTTTGTTTGTTTGGTCATTATTCCCTAAACAATACAGAATTACTGTTTACATAGCATTTACATTGTATCGGGTACTACACTCTAAAGATGGTTTCAAACATGCAGGAGAATATGTGTAGCTTATGTGCAAACACTATGCCATTTTAAGTCAGGGGCTTAAGCATCCCCAGACTTGGGTATCCATTAGGGGTCCCAGAACCAATCCCCTGTATTACTAAGGGATGACAGTACTTGCCTTGCTCTGTTCCTGGTGAACCCTAATTATGACAACCCCTTTTCTTAAAGAAATGGTATTCCTAAAAATGTGTGTATACATTGAAAGCCTGCCTTAAATTCACCAGGGGGGGACATAAGATCTGAAGCATTGTAAGGCCCTTTCACATATTAAGAATGGAATGTCACATCTCAATTTATCTTTTCCTGCATCTGGATTTTCATATGTACTTCTGAGTTTGCACCTATTGAGGATATAACAATGAAGCCAATCTCTTTTGAGATGGGAAAGCATTATTGGCATGAATATTAAAGAGAACTTTATTATCGCATTCAGCAGGCCATTTCGGGGCTCCGGGGTCAAACTGTGTTTCTGATGAGATATTAGGAACACCTTCTTTGGGTAAAGGTGCCTCAGGGTGTGCAGCAGACCCTCTTTCCCCTTCCCTTCCCTCCTTTCCTCACTCCTCCCCCTTAGGAGCATCCCAGACCCGCAGGGTCCCTGCAGCCAGGCAAGCTATGGTCCTCACCCTGCATGTCCGTGACCAGGAGGCAGCCGCTGGTTTTCTGGTACACCCAGTGCTGGAAGGTACAACACTTCTGACCAGCCTCCGTTTCTCTTCTCAAGAAGTTTATTTCCTTCCCATCTCTGATGGAATACTTCACAAATTCTCCAATCAGCTCCTCTTCCACTGTTGCATAAGGGATGTTGTTCTCAGGCCGATGGATGAGAAAAATAGGAATGATCCTGCAAGGCAGCAGAACATGGACACACATCGAATTTCAGATGGAAAGAAAAACTGCTGGGCCATTCTACGCCCACGTGGAGCAGTGGGAGCTGCACAATCAACCCCTGGGTTCTGGGTTCCATTAGATTTGGTTGTTTGGGTACTGAGGATGGAAAATGGACCTTGCACATACTAGGCAAAAGTTCTACCACTGAGCTACACTCCAGCCCTATCCATTAGATTTAGACTAAAAAAAAAAATCCCCCAATTATTACTTAATGATAAAGAAAATGCATTTGTGTTTTTATTTATTTCTAGAATTAGAAATTCCTCCTTACGTTTTATTTCAATTGCTCATGTAGAAATGAATGTCTTCATATATTAATACCTTAATGTTGTGTTAGTCAAGGATTATAATCCATCTATCCATCCACCACCTCCCCACCCATCCTACCTCCCCTCCACCCACCCATCTGTGCATCCTCCTTTCCTTCCATTCAGTCCACAAATGTTCATTCAGGAGCTTCCGTGTCAGACACTCTTCCAGACACTTCCACAAGCAGCAGTAAAGGAAACAGAGGCTCTGCTCTTGTGGATCTCACATTGAATGAGAGAGACAGACAAGAAACAAGTAAAAGCTCACAGCTGAGTGTTGGGTGGAAATAGGAAGGGGCGGAGAGGAGACACACGGGTGGGAAAGGGTGACATTTTATTTAAGGGGCATCAGAGGAGTCCTTGTTGATGAATAAAGAGCATTTGAGGAGAGACCTGTGGGAAGTGAGTGGAGAACCATAAGGAATTCTAAGGCAAGATCATTCCAGGGAAAGGAAAGAATTAGTTCTAATTTTAAGATGAAAGTTCTGTGTGTCTTGTTAAAGAAATTTCAGGTGTTCCAGCTGAGGACAGAAGGCCAGATGGAAGCGGGCACATTTGGGGCAGTAGCCCTGCCCCCTCTCACTGCAATCAGCCTGGCTGCCCAGGCTTCCTCAGGTGTGCTTGTCAATTTTGCAGGATTCAGGGGACGCTCTGAGGAACCCCTCTGCCAGTAACCCTGTACCAAGCACAAAGGTTCAAGGTTTGTCTGGGTTCTTATTAATCATGCAGCCCTGGCAGGGTGTGGGGACAGGGACAGAAACAAAGGTTGGGCATTATTCGGGTTCTTTATTAGCCTGGTCTCTGCCCAGTGGGACCCATTTGCATAGACAATGTGATGCCATTGATATTCATGAATTCAAAAACAAGCTGCTCCAGTGTGGAGTGTTTTTTTTTTTTTTCTTCTTTAAGATCCCATGTGCTTCTAAAAGAGAACTTCTCCAGGACCAAGCTCCATTGTCTGGAATTAAACACAGGGGTCACCCAAAGGTTCCAGAGCCTCTCTTTAGGCTGCAACTGTGGTTAAGCATGGGGGCTTCGAAAGAAAGCAAGAATGTCCATGGCTAGCTCTGTGTGTGAGTGAGTGGTGTGTGTGTGTGGCTCTAAAATCCTCTGATTTAGGTTCCTTGAGCGTGGAATCTTTCCCAGATGTCCTTCTGAGGACCCTTACTCCTCTTTATATTGTCATCATCCATGTGGTCACAAATCCTCCCATTGCAAGAAAGGGAAAGCAGTTTTTCACAGGAAAATGTCCTCACTGATATTCTCTCATCTTGGGCCTTGGCTAGTTTACTGCAGTGCTAATTGCTGATGAAGCCCATTAAGCTCCTACCTCCCCTGCCCCCCATCCCCCAGGGTGGGCCCTTTCCAAGTCCCTATACCAATCTGATCTTAATAATTTTGTGTTCTTTTCTCCCAGAGGGCCCCGAATATGGGAAGAGACAAGCTGCACAAAATCTGGGTCTACCCCTGCAGGGGAGGATTAGTGGCTTCAATCTTCCCTTCCTGAAAGAGGACCCCTGACACAGAGACTGGGAAGAGGGGGGACCAAACAAGAAGGATGACAGGGCGAGATTTGTGACACAGAACTGAACTCATCCCAGATTGCTGTCTCCGTATATTTAACAGAGAAGCTGAAGGATAAGGACAGTAGGCCCTAGGGACTTTCCCTAACTGTCGCCCTACCTGCCCTCCTGCCTTACCCAAATGAGTCACCAAAACTCCTCCCATGACCTGGCCCTGCTAAAACCCTACAAAACCCAGGCCCTTGCTGCAGCCCATCCCCCGTTCTCCCCTCGAAAAACGTGCCCCTCTGATGCTTACTAAAGAATGGCTGGTCCTTTTTCTTTTTGTATTCTCTTTCATGTACTTTCAAAAGCAATTGTGTTTTTTCTTTGCATTACATTATTATTTTTTCATTTGCTGACAAATACTTATGTAGTAAATAAGTATGTTAAATTTTTTTTTTGGTAACGAGCGAGCGGAAAGGATCAGAGACGCTACTGGTTTTGCTCAACAACAGACCACCTAAGGGAAAGTATTGTTACCAGTCTGTGAGCCAACAGGGGCACTTGGACAAGCTCCCTCCTCCTTTCCCCTCCCAGGCCTGCTGTATAAATGGCTGCAGCTTCCTCCTTCCACTTAGCATGCAAATATGATCACACCCAGACACACAGGCCAGTAAACACAAGCTCCAGACTCCTCCAAATTGGCTGAGGCCAAAAAATATTGCTTCAATGACTGGATAAAAGCAATCGGTGTAATTTATCTCTGTAGGATTCCAGGAAGTGGCTACTGTGTTACCAGTAGCCTGATCACTGGTCCACTCTTACCTGTCACATCACCATATCTTATTTTCATCATAGGATTAATTACATTTGGACAGTGTCCTGTGTTTGCTCATTGTTTAGACACTGTTATACCCATGAGAATAGATACCTTTTCTTTTCTATTTAATGTGGTAGATATATTTATTGAATGAATTAATCTAGCCAGTCATTTATTTACCCATGCATATTTGGGGAGGTGAGGTAGGGTACCAGGGATTGAACTCAGGGACACTCAACCTCAACCACTGAGCCACATCACCAGCTCTATTTTGTATTTTTATTTAGAGATAGGGTCTCACTGAGTTGCTTAGTGCCTTGCTTTTGCTGAGGCTGGCCTTGAACTCCTGATCCTACTGCCTCAGCCCCCCCAACTGCTGGGGTTATAGGAATGTGCCACAGCACCTGCCCTTGCATACATTTTTAAAGGATATTTATCAGTTATCTCTCTGTGTGTCCCTGGAGTCCAGACAAACAGGACAGCAGGCATGGGATCCTCATGGGATTTATAGACAGAGACCAACCTTATCACTTGACATCACTCTCACCCTCACCCCTCCAGCCCTCCGAGTCCCCAGCAAATCAGATGGTAACAACCAAGTCAGGGTAGACTCACTCGGGCACTTCTCCAAAGCCTTCCAGGGGCTGTGCTTCGGCAGCGTAGATCTTGGCATAGTGTCTGGCAGTATTTTGAACACAGCATTCCTACATCACCAAACACGTGTGAAATCCAAGTGATTAAAAGGAATCAGAGTATCACCCAGTAATACCATTCCGGCAATTTTCCCAGTGTAGGTCACACCAATGGATTCCTGAACCCATCAAAGCACACATTTATTAATTTTGTTGTTGTTGTTGTTCATGCTGGGGGTCAAACACTTCACCTGAGCTACATCTCTAGTCCCTGAAGCAGTAATTATCATAACCTAGAGTTGGCCTCATACAGAGGAGATCTGAGACATGAAGGGACTACCCAGGCCAAGGTCAAGGGTATTCCAAACTATTACACTTCTAAACCAGCTGAAATTCACCCCTGAACTACTGGGGCTGGCCCCTTGTCATGATGACAGACAACGCTGGGGTTGGGGGCTCCTGGTTTTCCTCTGAGATATCCCCCTGCAATTCCTTTTCTAAGTTGTAATTTGCATAGTAAATAAGGACACTTTGACAAGATTTCTGGCTCAGGAAAACCAAAGTGCATCCTGCTTCCCCCTCTTTTCTTTTCTGAGTGGGAGTCTGTGTGCTGGGGGATTTTCTATGAGTGGCCATACTCAAGATGGAAAGCTCAATGAAAGAAAAGAAAAAGAGGTGTGGGTTCAGAGGAGAAAGGAACATGATGGGAAAAGCCCCATACTTGGAGAAGAGTGGCTGCCCTCATAAGCACATGGTCTCACAGACATCACCACACCTGAATCGGGGATGGTTTATGATTGACAGGACCCGGGAGAGTCATCCAAGCTCAATCCACTAGGTTATGGGTAAAAATGTTGAAAGGGCACTTAGTCTGTGAAAGAGCTCGCCCCAACCCTCCTGACAGCTTACCAGTGCTGGTGTGGAGAGTGAACCACAGGGGTCAAGGGGAGCTGGGGAGGGGAGAAGTCAAAACTACCCCTCCCCTGTCCTCCCCTGCCCTCCCCTGTCCTCTCTCCCCTCTCCTTCCCTCTCCTCTCCTCCCCTCTGGCCTCAAGTTCTGCAACTCGGTGACAGAGAGAGATGGGAACTTAGCTGGAGACTTGGGCCAATCTCTCTTTGTAGTTTATAGGCTGAACCAAACTCAGGAAAGCAGGAAATAAGACAAATGCTGACCCTTTTGAATACACCCCCCTGCTGCCTGCTCCATAAAACAAAACACTCAAGAGTTTAGCGCTGATTTAATCTGTCACTGTTGCTTCCAACCTCCACCTGCCCTATCATCCCATGTCCAAGTAGATTCAAATCCCCAGGGGTCTCCTGGGGCCTCCTAGGAACAGAAATGACCATGTTCAAATCAGAATTGGAGAGGGGTTTCCAGGCATTGGTGAAGTCCCAAATATCTGGTAAGAGACCAAGAAATTCTTCCAAGAACTAAGTGACCCCCCCACCACTTGACTTTGATCAGTACTCCAAGACTAACAGGCCCCCAGCATTCAGACTTGATCCACATCCCAAACTGAGCAACCCCCTGTATTCAGCTTTGATTTCTACACCCCCAAAAAAGAGAAACACCTTTGGGAGACACTCTCATTCATTCTGAGTCTGATTTTCATCTCAGGTTACCTTGGTCACTCTCCTACCTGAAGGGACACCTTTGGGCAGACAGACCCACCTGGGCAGCAAGTTTGTAGTTCCTTTGGATGAGCTCGTCGTTGTTTCTGGTCCCATAGGCGACTGCGTTGTGTACCTTGAGCACACAGGCATGACCCGGCTGGAAGACGGGTGTGAGGCCCTGCATCACGGTGCTGCGGAAGGCTTTGCGGTGGACCCCCTCCCCGAAGTGCAGCGCCTCGGTGGCAATCTGTCCACGCAGGCGGTCCCCAAAGTAGTGGTCATTGAGGAAGTCCTCTTTGAAGATGAGCTGACTAAATTCAATCTCTTCACACCCTAAAACATAGCATAGTTTGGTTGGACAGATTATCTCCCAGTCCTGATCCTTGGAGAACTAGTGTCTCCCATCATGTAAGGGCAAGGACAGGGTTGACCTGTTGAACCAAGAGGGAGGAACCACACTTAACTGCTAACAGAGACACAGCTAAAGGGAGAGATGGGGAGAGGAAGCGTCACTGAAGGAGGATGTAGGAGGATCCTGGAAGACCCCCATAGGACACATGCAAGAGGAGACCAGTTGGAGTGAAACTGGGGAGACCAGGAAAAGAATTGTAGACAGATCTGGAAATTAAAAGCAGAACCAGGCAGAAAAACTAAAAGCAAGTCAAAAAGATGGGCCAAGTCTAGTGTAGAAGAGAGGGGAAGGACAAATGACCAGATCCAATAGCGTTGTATCAATCTTTTATCATGATTGGTGCCTTTTTTGGGCATTTTTTCTAAGAATTCCCCTGCAAAAATCTTAACACTACAAATCACACATGCATACACACACTCACTCATGTACCATGTGTATATCTGTACTATACACAAAAAAGGAAGGTTTTTTGCCCCCTTAAGAGTGATACTGCCTCACTTGAGAAAGCACATGAGATATATATTAAATAGGCAAAAATATAGAACAAAATATGAAAAGAATATTCTTTGAAGACAAGTTGAAAAGAGTAGACTTATTTTGGATTTATTTGTAAAAAGAAAAGTAGAATTGTTTCCTGAGTTTCCAAGCAGCTGGTTTTTTGGAGTTGATTCTATACATGCGTCAGATGATAATGGATTCAATCAGGATGCTCCATTTTAAACTAGAGATGACCAAATCAGACTTCTGACTTGCTGACAGAGGAAATAAGATGGCTTTCAATGAAACAAGATTGTTTAGATTTTTAAAAACACCTATTTCTCAGAGCTGATAGCTTTCTATACTTTTAAAAGATAAAAGTAGTCAGGGGTCGTGTGAAAATCCCACTTTGTTTTTACACGGTATGTTTAGAGAAATGTTTTTCTCTTCTTTACAAAATATTTTCAGATCATGTGCTTCAAGAGTAGCCTGTGAGGGGTACTAGCTATTAAAACTGGAAGGAAACGGAGCCTACGCTTAAGGAATATCGGTTAATGTCTAGGCCTAGTTATTGTCAGAAAGAAAGAGGAAGGGAGGGGATTTTCAGATAGAAAACATGGGTGAATTGCTGGAGGCTGCCAGAAGGAAGAGGGTCTTCAGAAAAAGTGCTGTAAATGATTTCAAAGAGGCTATCTGAAGGCTGGGGGACCAGAATGGGCCTCTTGAGCAAAAGGACTGTGAACTGCAGATAATTGAGAAGCAGATGCAGGAAAGCCTTTGGCCTCCCTCTATTTGCCAAAATTAAAACATACATTTACAAAGACAAAAGATATCCCACCTACCCTTCTCTACCAGGGAGAATAAAGATTATGCACTATGGACAGCTTGGACCCCTGAGAGTCTGGAGATAGCCCAAGGCAATCTACATTAATCAACTTCACTTGCTAGCCCTTATCCACCATTTATTTGCCTTCTGCAAGAAGCCACTTCTAGAACTCAAAAGTCCTTCTCTCTCTCTCGTCAATTCTCTAACAATTTACTGCTTCTTGTTTGAAGATGCTCTATAAACTGGAATTCAAAATCACCTTTCAGGGAATGACTCATTTCCTGGGTGTCTCCAATGTAGACATAAAACATAACACGATAGTACACTTCAGCTTGTATTTCTCCTTATACCTGTCTTTTGTTACAGGGGCCTGTTCCAACAAGACCTCAGGAGGTTGAAGAAAAATATTTTTCTTCCCCTACAACTCCTGAGTAAACTGTCCTGGATTCCAATGGGGTGTTTTCTCAGGTGAGCTCTTAGGCGAGAGTTGTAACAGGTTGCATCGTAAGTGACAGAACCAGAATAAAACTTTAAATTTATAATGAACAGTGTAGTTTCAATTTATAACAGTTAAATTTTAAAAAATAGGTGGAAAATGAATAGGAACTGCTTTTTATACAACCCAAACCTTCTCAATTCTAGTGACATGATGAATTTCAGTTTAACAATTTGCTTCAAATACCACTTAAAGAATATGGAAAATGTTTTAATGCCATAACCCAATAAACATGAGTCATATTTGCCACATCCTGTTTTCCTTCAAAATCCCCAGATTTCTAAAATTCAGATAGAAAATTCAAAGGTTAAAAAGTTTAGGTTTATGCTTTTGAATGAATCAGTTCTGGGCTGGGAATGTAGCTCGGTGGTGGAGCTCTGGTCTAGCTTGAGGCCTGGCTTGGATACCGGTGCTGCAAACCTCCTTCCATTAAAACAACCCCCCCCCCCATAAAAAAATTAAATTAAAAAAAAAATTAAATTTAATTAAAAAACAAAAGTTGTTCCAGACAATATACTTAGAAATAGGAAGAAAAATAAATTTTGGTACAGTATTATATGTGGTATAGTTAACAATCATGTCAGTTCCAACAGAAATGTCTACTTAACAAGGATAAACCATGAAAGAAAGAAAAAAAAAATTTAGTACTGTTCTCTGTCTCTGGAAAGCCCCGTGGGGAAAGAGCTGGAGTTTTAGCTGGAATGTGACTCCCTTTGCAGAGGAAGCAGGTTTGCACCTGCAACTTGGCAGAAACTGTGAGAGAATGTCCTGTCCAAGGGATATCTGCTGCGGCAGTGCCTGAAATGTCACTGTTCCTGAGGGCGTCACCTCAGAGCTCAGACCTCTTCTGCAGGGGGAGATGGCAGGAAGCATGCCTTATTTAGACCAGTTTCTTCACTGGGAAGGGTGACTCAAATAACAGGAACACGGAGCACCTGGGGGGGTCTCAGAAAAGACCAGAGTGTGGCAGTTCAAGTCTCAGGCTAGACAGAGCCCTCCATTGCCCTGCTCACCTGCCCACACCGCTGCCTCCAGCACCTGCGGGGGCAGTCCCTGAGAGAACCGAAAGGCTGGAGCAGGTGCCTGTGAGTGTCAGGAGACCAAAACAACTCCCTGAGGTTCTCTGCTACACCCAGAAGTTGCAAAATCCAAACTCTAAACACACAGAGAAACCATGTGGCTACCTGCAGCCCCCGTGGCAAAGACTGCTAAGAGGGAGGGAAGAGCAAATCACGAATATATTAATAAAATGTAATGACATCATTAAGTTGGGTTACTTGTGTTTAATTTGGCCCATCATTCATTTCAGGCTTTCCCGTGAGTTTAGCTTTATTAGTTTTTTAATTAGAGACTGACTTACAAAATGCTATTTGTTTCTCCTGTAGAGAATTCAATGAATATTTAGTGAAAGATTTCTCTAAATAATAATTTTTAAAAAGGTGATTAAAAGCAATTTTCAGCTGATCCAAATAAAGGTACAGTATCAAGTGAGGCCAGGTATGGCCTCCCCAGTCTGGTGAGTCACTGAAAGTGGACGCCCTGTCAGAGGGGCAGAAGCTGGGAGCAGGGGATGTCTTCAAGGACTCTGGCTGGAGTCAGCAGGCCCTACCAGTGGCACCACTTCCATCTGCTGGTCTGTGACATGTCCCCATTAGGGTCTCATTCTTGACTGGTGAAAGCCTTGTGACACGAGTTTATGCAAACCAAAATCAAGAATGTCATAGCAAATGTCAGATGTGAATGCCAATCAGTGCTAAGAAGCTGACTGCAACCGCGAAGCCCTCATCAAAGTCGGTTTGTTTTCTAGAGCAGAAGGAGGAAGGGAATGGATTCTTTTGCATATTTTGACTTTTGGGGATGTGAAACAGAAATGAGGGAGGATTTTAAATTAAAACACAAGTACACTACACATCGAAGATGGGGATTTAGCATGGGGGGGTTATGAAGAGCTTGCATTTAAATTTATTGTTTTGGATCAATATCACAATATTTGCTAGACCATTCCCAGCCTTGATCCAGTTTCTTGCTTTTGGCATCCTGGATCTTAGTGCACCTGGATCACTTCAATTGTCCTATTTTTACAGAGATCTCAGGTGTTTTGGTTGCTTTAAAACTCAGCACTAACAATACAACTTTAAGACGCTAACCCAATTTAATCATCCGAGTTTTACCCATATCCTCCCTAAAGCCGAACAAGGGTCCTATGCTGTGCTAAGAGTTAGTAACACGGTGGTGGGGCGGGGCACTGAGGGGTATTCGGAGCCACCTTGCTCTGGCTCCCAAGAGCTGATTGTGGGCATCTCCACCAGCTTCACAATTTGTGACTACATGGATAGAGTAAAATTAGCCGTGCAGAGGGTGTCTGCTCCATGGAAACTGGAAAAATACAGACCAGGTAGGGGTGGGCATGGGTCGACCTAGGCAGATGGGTGATTTCCCCTAAGAGGGAATACATGACAAATGTGGATTCCACCAAACTGTGGGAGACTCAATGAATGGCCCTCTGGTGGCAGAAGCGTCCAGGAGCAGCAGCTGTTAGGCTGTGGCGATGCCAGATAGGAGGCACAAAAACCCATCTTTCATTTTCATTAAATGAACGAACAGGGTTATACTCCAGCCCTCGACTCTCTCTGCTCAGCTAGTTATTCTAAAAAGGGAATCGAAGAAACAAAACATGCTGTGTAAGTGTCACAGGCTGGAGAACCCCACACAGCAGGGCTGAGCGCCAGCCAGTGTGGACGCCGACAGAAAAAGGTCAGATCCAAACTCCCCCCAACAGGTGTTCCCAGCATCCCCATCACTACAGGTCACCCTCTTTCATCAACGATGCGCCTGAGGGTATTTGCAGCCCAGTGACAGGACACAGGAGGACAGCCCTTACAATCTCATGGAAATGGCTCCTGAATCGCCCCTCGTTTCTCTGGCCATTCCTGAGCTCCCCACTGGGTTGGAAGGGTCTGTGGGGACATGCACGCTGGGAGCTGTCACAGGGAGCCCACTTCCTCTAACAGGCCAACTCACGTTGGCTTACCTTTAATATCCCCGTGACTGGAAAGCTGTCTGAGAACTAGAAGAAGACAAAGAAGAGACTGGCTTCAGTCCAGGTGTCCGTTCGGGAGTGGGCGGGGCCAGGGCTTCCACCTGAGACTGAGGAGCCGCGGTTACCTTGGGCGGTGAGGTGGAACTCGGAAGCCACTTTTCCACAGCTGTTCTTGATGCAGCAGCAGTAGAGACCCTGGTCCTTCTGACTGGCTTGAACGATGGTCAAGGAAACAGCGGAGTTGTCCCCTGCGCTGTAAAGGGGGACATTAACATGCACAGACCGAGTCATTCCTAAGTCGCATTCTCCTAGTGCCCTAAAGGAGAGACAAGGTAATGATTCCCCCCTTTGTGTTCCCCCCCTCCCCCCGTGGTCCAGCGAAAGGACTAGACCCCGACGGGCTATCTGAGCATCCATTTATCGGCGGAGGACCATGACCCTTAGGTTTAACCCCCCTCACTCTAACTGGCAGGAGGAGTCCACAGAAACAAGCCTGAGGCTCAACTGCCAGGCTCAGCTGCAGAGCCCAGAATTACAACAGTCACCTGGGAGTTGTCAACAACACATCTGCTCAGAATTCGCCTCAATTATGCACTTGAAGAAAACCTGGTGACTCCATACCCTAACCTAAACCCAGAAAACAGGGGACAAAACGGGTCCTTTGTTTTACATAAAACATCACCACTGAGGCCCACCTCCTTTTGGTGATGTCTTAAAAGACAGAGTCTTGCTGTGTTGCCCAGTCTGGTCTTGAACTCCTTAAGTGATCGTCCTGCCAAATCCTCCCTAGCAGCAGGGACTACAGGTGTGTGCCACCAGCTTGGATTTGGGGGACTCCTTTAAAATAGTGTCTTCCCCTGGCGAATACCACCCACCTATCCAATATCTTTAAGTTCCAGACATCATGCTCTGAATACAAAACAGAGTGGTGGCAGGTATTGGTGCTGAAGGTGGTGACAGCTAGTGCACACTGAGAACTTGGTAGGTATTGGGCATTGTGCTAAAGCACTTAGAGGTCTATGCTCAGAATGACCCCGTAGGGAAGATGGTTACTCTTCTCATTTCACAGATGAGGACCTGAGACTTTGAGAAATTCAAGCCAAGGGCCTCCACACAGCCAAAACATCTCACTATTACATGCACAAGCAGAGCATGCTACCACTTTCTTCTTGGTTTCCTCCACATCTACTTTTCTTTTGCTTCCTAGCCATGAGGTGAGCAGTTTGCTCTCGGACATTGCCACCCAACATACCCACCAGAAGCCAAAAGCAACAAGTCTGCCAAATATTGGACTGAAACTTCAAAAACTATTCACCAACATGAACCCTTTTTCTTCATAAGTTAATTATTTCAGGTGCTCTGTCATAGTGATGGAAAGCTGAATAACACAATAAGGCAGTGAGATATTTCATGGAGGGACTTTTAAAAGAAAACACTCAACTAAAAGTAGGGATGAGAGATTTTACCTAATATTTGAAAACCCACCTGAAATAATATAAATGATCTCTCAATATACAACGGAATTATCATTTCCAAACATTCTCAAGTGTTAGTGTAGAGCAGATGGGTTCAACTAAGCTATTGCCAACATGAAATGAAGCAAATACTACTAAGAATTTAAAAGACTTCAGTGCTTACTATTGACATATGCTCCCTAGAGGGAGGTGAGGTTTTTGTAAATATGCCTCAAATGGAAAAGGAACCTGGAAAATTTAAGCACCAATCAAGCCTGTTTAATTGAAAAACACTGAAAACGTTAGTTAATTGTTCTTGGCTGACAGGTTCAGGAAAAAAAGTTAAAATGAATACTTAGTACTTTTAAAATAAAGTTCTAGGGGACCTCCTTGACTTAAAAGTCAGTCTACTTCTTCTCCATTATAATAATCTTTTAAAGCCATACATAGGACAGGCAGGGTCATGGTGACCTTTTAAGCTAAGTGATTACTGGATCAATCACGTCTAATTAGATTTTCTGGGGTGATGTTGATAGAAAGGAAACCACAGCTCTCGTCTTCCATAGCTGCATTTGGGAAAGAATTTCCAGATGTTTGTTCCAAGAAGACAAATCTGATTTAACTGCACAGAAACCGTCCGATTTTCTTCCATTTTCAATCTATACACAACCAGCTGAAGGGCATGTGAACACCTCTGTGGCCCCAGGGCTGACCTGGGGCCTCCTGGAGCAGGAGTGGGTGCCTGCAGGCTGTTTGGGTTACGCTGGTTTCATGGAGGCAGGTGATTTGTGTCTAGAATGCAGCAGAGGAAGCCTGCGTTCATCAGGTCAGTTGAACAATCATTAACTGCCAAGAGGCAGGTTCAGCCCACACCAGTGTCCACGGCAAGAATCCTCACTCATCTCTTCCTCAGGGTCCCCTCCTGTGCTGTCCTAGGGACCCAGAAACTAACTGGTCTCCCCACCTCAGAGACAGCTGCCTGTCATCCTGAGTAGCTATTACTTTTTGGTAAACTCATGGAACTTTTCTTCTTTTTATTCACCTTTGTCAGATTAATAAGAGTTTATGCAGCAGAAAACACTCATTGGCGACACACAGACACACAGAAGAGAGTTCTTTAGCCTCAAGACCACAGATCCTCAGTCAAGAATACTAACATGTTTCCTGAGTTTAAACTGTAAGGAAAGGTCCTGTGACTTCCTAAGAACACAGAGCTCTCGGGCGGCAGAGCCCAGGTGAGAGGCCAGGTGAGATGCCCCGTTCAGGCATCTGTATGCCATTCCCACTCTTCTTGGAGCTGTGGGCAGGGGATCTTTACTTCCATTTGCCTTTTCACTTCCTATAATTTATGATTTTATTTTGTAACTACACTAAAAAATAAGTGTGTATCAACTGTGAAAAGCAACCAGGATCAAATACCCGACCTTCTCTGGACTTGAGCTATTGACTTTGAATCTTTTGTCCACCAGATGGTAGAATCTTCGTGAACTTCTGCAAACTGGCAGCTTAAGTTTACATTTTCAGGGTGGTCAGGGAACATCTCGGCCTGGATCTTTTTCAATACGACTGGAGCTAGAAACAAGAGAGGTGTAGGTCAGTGTGGGCAGAAGACTTTCCCATGGCATCTTATTTAATTCTCACAATTCTGAGAGACAGGAATAACACCCCCAAATTATGAATGAGGAAAATGAGTGAGAGGTGATGTGCTTGCTTGGACAGTTAGAAAGTGAGCAAACCACTCTGATGGAAAACTCCTGTTTTTCATTACTTAAAACTCCTTGGGTGAGGTCTATAGTGCCCTCTGTGAGACAGAACTTGAAAGACTTTTTTTTTTTTTTTAAAGGGTGGAGCAACCTAGTCTATAGGACCTGGGCTAAATAAAGATGCTTTTAAATAATTACCAGGTGATCCAGGTCAAAATTAGATCCAGAGATTAGGAAGTAGAATAAAATATGGACTACTCAGGTAACTGCAGTTAAGTCTCCAAATGTAAAAGACAATTCAAGAATAAATTATTTGTTGAAAAATGCTCGATCCTCAAAGCTGTCTTTGCTAAAGATGGCCTATGGACTGGAGTGATGTGGACATTGCTCTCACTCTCAAAAGAGGTGTCTACTTCAATGAAACAGGAACCAAAAGAAATGATTTCAGGGGCTGGAATGAGAACTTTAAATATCACCTTTTATTTTTATTGGTGAGGAGCGCAGAGCCTGACCTGCAAATGTGTAGTCAGTCAGGGAAGCCACTGGGTGGCAACATAGACACCAGAACACCCGGAGGACAGAGTCAGATGTGCGAGATGATTGGAAACGTGCTCTGCAGCTTCAGGAACAAATGTTACAAACATTATATGATCCACAGGCAAGCCAAAAGTATCCCTCGGGAGGCTTTGTTTACTCCTGTTCCACTCCAGTGAAGAGTGTTGTGTTGTGTTAAACGAGCTTACCATTTTTCCTGGGCCCCCCGCAGACACTTGGCTATAAGAACGCATATTTTAAAGCTAACTATGTGCCCAGGAAGCGGCAACGGGCTGGTTGGTAACAAATCCCTCAACCAGAGAGTAGCTGAGACTACTAACAACATTACTGGAGCCAAGTGCGTCATCATCAAGAGAGAAAACACTCCACGTCCTTACTGATGGCTAATCTCATTTGGTTCTTTGGGCTCTGCAGCTCCTGCCCAAGCGGAGGCTGTTCCAGGGCACAGCCTCAGATGCTAGACCCAGGTCTTGACCAACTCACCTCCACCTGGGCTATTCCCTTGAAGTCCCTTCCACGTGGTGGCAATCTTCCTGGGCCATCTGGGTACACCTACATGTTCTGAAGGCTGTTTTAAGTGTTGAAGACGAAAAAAGTGGGATGGTGGAGAGAAGGGCCTTAAATGGGTATAGAACTGAAGGGTGGGCTCTGGGAGACAGGAAACTGGTTCAGCAAGGAGCCTGGGGGCCTTGGGAAGGATTGTCTGAGTGTGAGAGAAGAGCACTGCAGCCAAATGAGTCAGAGGAGGCCCAGGAGCGTGGCTGTTTATCAAGTGTTGAGCAAACACCACACAGAAGTCCTCTGGTGGACCTGAGGCTTCCACTGTCCTGAGGATGCCTCGAAAAGGTTACCTGGCCTTTGTTTTCTTTCTTTCAGAATCATCCAAGTCCCTCCCCACCCCCTGCCACACGCACACTTCCAACTCCTAGCCCACCAGGTCACTGACGGGGGGCACTGAATCTGGGCTGCTCCAGGGGAGGGGAGGGTGAGCTTCAGACTGTGGGTACACAGGCAAGGTGTCACCACAGGTCTGAAGGGCAATACTGAGCAGAGATGAAGACTCTACACCAGGCAGAATGGGAACTTCTTAGCCTGGTGTCTTCCTAGTGGTGACATTAAAAAAAAATGAAATTGCTGTACCTTACCCTGGAAAGACAAAACTAAAAATCTTTTGAGTATGTGTTGGTGGAGTAGGTTCTAAAGAAGGCATATTTAGAATCCGTGATGGACAGACAACTCTAAGGTAACAAGTTACAAGGAAGAGGCAGACCATTGTTGAAGGGGAGCCTATACAATCTGCCATGCCAAGTGGTAAGAGCCAGAAGAGAATCATCTCTCCTGTCACTTGTCCTTGGCTTTGTTGCTTCATACGGATTAGGGCACACGGAAGATTCTTATTGAATAAGTAGTCGCTGCACTAATTATCACAAGTAATTGGGGTCACTGTGTAAAACAATATGTCCTTAATAAATGAATGGTCAGGCAGTTGTAGACCAAGCCAGGTAAGGGCTCTTTCAGAGAAATGGCCTCGTGCTTGTTTGTCGTTAGGGCCAGAAGCTGGAAGGACCGAGGCACTGTCCTACCTTTCCCTGAGAAGGAAAGACCCACCCAACAGGCATCTCCCCCACCACTGGGGAAGGACATAGGATCAGAGCCTACCTGGGTGTGAGCAGAGCCCTCCTGGGACTCAAGAAGAATTCAGGGGAGAGTGCCCTGAATGCTCCCTCACCAGAGGCTCCCCTTTCCATGAGGCCTGGTGTTCCTCAGAGAAGAGAGGCTGTGCATTAGGAAGCACTCTTTCTTCTGATACTCAGTTGGTATCAACTCAGACACAATGACCCTGTGTCTGAACGAAGTTCTGAATTTATTTCATGGGCACTTGCTTCATGTTCCTTTGCACTTGTATGTGGGGATGAGTCCTATTATCAGCACCCCAATTTGATAGGTGAGGAAAGCGAGGTTTCCAGAGGCTGAGGCATTTGTCCAAGGCTGCCCAGTTCCTGGGAGAAGCCAGACTTGAACCCAAGCAACCCAGCTCCTAATCTGGGCCCTAAACCACCGCATCACAGCTCCCTCCCACATGGGCCCAAACACCTGCAAACATCCCAAATCTCATTTGCCTCTTCATGGTCCCCACAGCCCTGGGGGCATTGGTAATGGTCCTTCACTGCCACATTGGGTTGGTCTGGTCTGGAAAAGTGTTTGTGTCTATCTCAAGGTCTCTTCAGGCCCCTGAGCCTGTGGCCCACTGCCCTTGGTCCCAGCTCGGCTAGCACTGTGCCTTTGAGAATGTGGCCCACCCTGTCATCAGCCCTCGGTGCTTGGGATGGCGATGCTGGGCTCAAACTCTCCCACAGCACGGCTCTTGGCATCACCCTTCCTTCCACAGGCAACTTGAATAGTTGTGGTCAAGAACCCCAAATAAAATTTTTCCCTCTAGGCTGAAACCACTTCTGAGATTTGTTTTTAAAAAGCATTGCTTCTTTCCCTTTCATATATTTCAAAATATGCACTAAGAAGCTGTTGGAGACCCCCTCTCTTCAGAAGGCAGTTTCTTCTGCCATCTTTTCAGAACCAGGTCTGAGAAGGTCTGAGAAAAGAAAAGCTCAGGCCTCAGGGTCAGAGGACCCAGGCATAGTGAGGACCAAATTTCTCCTCCAGGTCACCTGGGCCAGAGCTCTGCCCCTGCCTGGGCACTTGTGCTGTAGCTCTCCGTACAGTTTTCCCCGCTGACTTCTGCACTGTGTGTGGAAGGGAAGAGGCATTTGAAATAAAAGAGGCCCGTTTCAGGGTCTGGAATGGAATCGGGGGCTAAAGTGATACTATAACTGCAATTACAAGGGCTTTTGAGGTTCAAGTGGCTTGAAATCTGGAACTCAGCCACCAGAGGTTAGAGGAGGTTAAGTTCAGAGAGCGCGAGGGTGAGTTGGAAAGAAATTTTATACTCATATTTGGAAGAAAACCAAGGTTAAGTTAAGCCATTTTGAGTGAACATCAGTGATTAAAGAGGAGAATCCCAAAAATGCCACTGGAATACTTCTTTCTATATATCCTGCTGTGTTCTTTTTAATTATACTAATTAGCCACTTTGTTTATCTTTTTAGATAATTTTTAAAGGATAACTAAAAATAGAAAGGGATTGTAATCATGCTCCCTCAATCAAACACACCTAGAGCAGCCTTTCTCAGCCCTTCTCAGGTGTGCCGCCCCGTCCCCCATCACCTGGGAACTTGGTAGGAGTGCAGATTCTTGAGCCCACCTCCCCATGAACACTGCATCAGAACTCTGGTGTGGGACCAGGAAATCTGGGTTGTAACCAGCCCTCCAGGGATCCTGATGCCTGTTCAAGTTTGAGACCCACAGGCCTGCGTCCCAAGCCACTTGTCCACACTATGGCATCAATGGCCACCTGCCAGATGCTTATCTGAATTGCTAAGGGCTCAAGAGGACACAGGAACTTCACACCTCATCTTACAAACCCAAACTTCAACAATGAAAAAAAAAAAAACGCTACAGAGCCTCACCTTTTCCTTCTCTTTTGCAAGCTACCTTTTTCGGGTCTTTTTTCTCGTCTGAGCATGATAAGGATTTTTCGAGCTTAGGGATCTTTTTAAGAAGACTCAAGTTCTTTCTGACATTTTCCTTCTCTTCCAATCTCAGTCTCAGGGCTGCCACCCTGGACAGAATTTTCTTCTTTACTCCCTCAGCTAAATGTCCACTGCTCGAGGTCTCCTGCTGCTTCCTGACCTCCTCCGACGTGACCACTGCTCGATGGGTCCCTGGTAATTTGCCAGCCTGGGCAGCCACGCGGCTGGGCTTCTTCACCCCCGGCTTCTCCTCCCTGCCCAAGTGGAAGCCCTTCTGCCACAGGTCCTGCAGGAACTCAGAGGAGTTCTCTGACTCACATTCTCCAGAAATGAAAGCCAAAGTCATCTGGGGGGAGCCAGATGAGCCTGAGGGTTTGGTTTCCCCAATTTGAGGCTCTTCTGTTTTCAGTTCCTCAATCTGAGAGCTGAGTGAAGAGTGAGACATGGTTCCTTCAGGAGGTGAAGCGCAAGGTGACAGCGTAAGATCACTGGAGAAGGGCACACATTTCCCACACTCGTTCTCCATAGTTCCCCTTTCCTTTGAGTCAGAAAATATGTACTGATGGTTTCTGGGTTCAAAAACATCATTTTCAGGTCCATCATAAACTGTGGAGTTGTGAGCATCAACCCCAACAGGTGCATGTGTTATTGAAAGACAACCAGAAAGAGGTGAAGTGGGGGAAATAAATTTGGCTGTGTCCTTTTGACCTTGTTCTGCCTCCCCTGAGATTCTGCCCCTGCCCTCTTGCACTTGGCTTATCCTGCATGTACTTGGAATTCTTTGCCCACCTTCTTCCGCTGGCCACCTGGCAGGTTGGTCTTGCACCCCTGCCTGGTTATATTGACTTCCTTCAACCTCTTCTCTCTCCCTGTCTACTTGGTCTTGGTTGATTCTGGTTTTGCTTGGAATGGTTTCCCCACTGTCCTGGGGACATGGAACTTGCAGAATGGCAGGACAGATGTCCACTCCCTGACCCAAGTTTCCATCAGCTGATGTATTCCCCTCTCTGATGGCCCCTAGTGTGGATTCAGAAGGTCCCGGTTGCTCAGCCCTGGGGCGCTCCACCACACCTGCCTCACCATCAAGAGGATCTACAGAGGACTCTAGGATGTTAAGGGAGGTCAGAAACTGTTTGAAGAAGACAGTGGGGGCCACCTGGAGCTGGGTTTCCTCCTGGTTAACGTTTTCCTTCCTGCCAGATTCTGAGGCCTCTGATAGTGAATCTGCAAGATGTAATTCCTTTTCATCAACAGGGTCCACAGACGACTCCAGTAGTCTAGATTGGCTCAAGCCCTGGGAAGGAGGAGTGTTCCCATGTGCCCTGCTAACTGGTGCTTCACCTTCATGGGTTTCCTTGTTGTTGGCCAGAGCTGGACCTGTCTCAGCCTGAGGACCATGAGCCCATGCTGCTGTTTCCAGCAGGTCTGCCTCAGACACAGCAGCATCAGGTAGAGCCCAGGCCTTGTCGGGGGCTATGGAACCAGCTTCTGCCTCCCTATACTCAGGGTCTGTCCCTTGTCTTGGTGGCCAAATTTCAGAAACAGAAGCCTCTAGGGTTATAATCTTCAACTTGGCTCCTGCTTCCCAACTCCCTAGTCCAGCATGCTCCTGGGGTGTTTCAGAGACAGATGGAACACCGCTCAGAGGCTGACTATCTTCTTCCGCAGCCGCTTCTGCCATCATGAAGACACTGGTCTCTGGGCCTGAGCTGCACCTTCTTTCTGCCCTAGACTTTGCTGGAGAGGCCTCCAAGAGCACCTTGCTGGCTTCCTCTTGTGCAGCCAATGCCAGGGGCAAACTTTCTTGGAAATCATCTACAGAAAGAGAACCCTGGCAGAATGAGCTGTCCAGTTGGATTCTCTGCTTTGTTTCACTTCCTTTTTCTTGGAAATCCTGTTCAAGGCTCCTGATGTCTGCTCTGTCTGTGGACTGACTCACATCTCTAGACTGTTTATCGATCTGAAGAGGGGAAATGTTACAGAAACCCTCTCCCTCAAGAGGTGGGGGAACATGACCAGGATCTTCCAGAACACTGAGGGCCAGGCAAGGTGAATCTTTGTTAGATTCAGTTGTGGAACCACCAAAAATATGACCCAACTGTACGTTGGAAGGTAATAGAACAACATTTTTGTCCGCTGCCTCAAGTGAGCTGTCCTTGGCACCATCTGCAAGGCTGTTCTCAGAAACTGAAGCAACTTGGCACTTGGCTGGGTGGACTTTGGTGGCAACCGCACTCATTGATTTGTCCTCAGTCTCCCTGGGCACCTGAAGACCCTCGACTTGAGCAGTCAGTGCTGCTGGCTTCTCCTGCCAAAGCTTCAAGATTGAGCCATGATTGGCTGGTGAGCCGGTGGTGACTTGGACACTGGGACTCTGGTCACCTCCTTCCTTAAAGTTCAGGAAAGGGTTATCCTCAGAGGAAGGAAGATGTGTCTCCCCACGCCCTCCCAAGCTGAGTGGGATTGGGCTCTCCTGGCCATCTTGTGCTGTGGAGGGCAAGATGCAGGAGGAATTCTCTACCTCAGTCTGATGTCCCCCTGCATTGGCCTCCTGTGACATGTTCCAGATGAGAGGACTAATGAAAAGAGGGGACACAGCTGTGTTTTTGTCCTTGCTGTTTGCACACGTAGACTGTGAAGGCTCAGAACCTCGTGTTTGTAAAAGAACTGCCAGTGTCTTGTCATCAGAAGGACATAAATCACATACTTTGCTTTGACCTTCTGTGAGCTCATAGTCCATGCAGCAGATTTCCTGAGGCAAATATTTATCAGCTGGTGCCCCAACAGGAGAATCCATGGTATCACAATACATTCCTTGGTCACTGACTCCAAAACACTCTGTCACACATGCTGCTTTTCTGCTCCTTGAGCCCTTGCACACGTTCTCCAAGGGGAGGCTGGTGTCTGCAGAGCCAGGGGAAGCAGCAGAGAGAGGCTCCGGCACCTCGGGCTCCTTGCAGTCAGCACCAGTATCCCAGGGGAGATGTGTTGAGGGCCCAGCCAGGGACATCTTTCCAGCATTGGCTTCTTGGGTGTTCTGTTCATGTTCTCCATCTGCCCCAGAACCACCAGGTGGGTGGCCTTCTCTTCCAGGTTCTTCCTCCTGCTGTGGGCCTTCAGCATGACCCCCTTCCTCTAGGTATTGGGTCCAAGATGCATTTTTCTTGTGGATCCCCCATAAGTTGGAGAAGGAATCCATTGTGGTCCCGGTGAATGGAGACTCCTTCCCAGCAAATTCTGGGAATGCTGGCTTCTGGCTGAGAGAACTTCTCTCCCTGGCTGTTTCCTGAATTTGCCCCTGGGAAGATGAAAAGTGGTATTAATAGAATTGTTCCTGGGAGAGGCCTCAGCAGGACATAACAGCAGTCCTGAGTGTTAATCCTCAATGATTGTAATAATGGACAAGAAGAGCTGGAGTGACTGAAATCTGAACATGAATCCCCCAAATCACCCTAGCTGTTAGAGACTTCCTGGCAAAATACAAATCTAAGCAATTCTATGTTCCACAGGACCCTTGCCCAAATTTACCATCATAAGCAAAAAGCTACCTGACACTCATCATTTACTGAATAATTTTTCTCTTCCTCTCTCTGAGAAAAAGAGATGGAAATAAATTGAATGTTAATGATTTTGCTCTAATAAGTCACAACATGATCTATGTGCCACTTTCTAGAAAGATGAATTTCACTTGACCATTACAAAGGAAATACACAGTACTTGTAAAGTAGCAATGAGCAATTTTTGTCCCCCAAATATGACAGTTTTCTAGTTAATAATGATACTAAAGAACAGAGACAGGCCTGTCCTTTGAGCCCACCTCTAATGAAGAAATGGAGTTATAATAGGCTATCAGCACCGCCAATCAGCTTTTGCCCCTGAAAAGGTTATAAAAATCCTGACGTGCCTCCCAGACTTTAAAACAGAGGCCCTGTAGCCTTTGGTAAACCAGGGGATTCAGGACTGTCTAGTTTGTTGAGAAAAGGGAAGGGTTGAAAGGAGGGAAGGGAGGAAAAAGAGGAAGTGGGCAGAAGACAGAACTCTCCCAGTCTGAGGACTGAACTCATCTTGGTACCATCTGAATGTTGTAGATTTTGGATACCGTTCAAAGAAGCAGCAAACTCTGACTACATTCTTGTCTCTTGAAACATTCAGCCCATTGACTATTTCAAATTATGTCCAGTCATGGAGAAGGGAATTAATGCTAATTCTTGGCATTAAAGTGACTCCATCTTTGCCCCATCCACCCAGGTCTCCTGCTTTGAAGAGCCCCATGCAAATGTGCAGAGCATAGAGGACTAGCCTTAGAGAGGGAGAGGGCAAGAGTGGAGGTGCCCTCCCAGCCTCTGATAAGACAGAACTGAGAGGCCGTGTGTGCAGGGAGTCCCAGAGTGGAGGCTTATTTCCATAACTCCCACACGAGGGGTCTTCCTGCCTGGCCAGCAATCCCTGCACCTACCACCAACAGGAAGCACTCTCTCCCCACGCTGCTTGCTACCTGCCAGTCGGTCATCCTTCCTCTTCTCTTCTTAAGCTACACTGAGATTCACTTAACTCCAGATTTTGTTGGCATAAAATTGCTAATGGAACAAGAAGAAGTTCATTATGAACTCCACAAGGGTTCCGTTTTATGTAGCATTCGAGGCCTGTTTCACGGACTAGCACACAGTAGGTGCTTAATAAGTATTTGCTGAAAGAATGAATAAATGAACAAAGCATGTACCAGGTCACCCATTAAACCTCTATGTTGGAAAAGGTTTTAACTTTCATTTGCTCCTAACTTTGCGACAGCCCTATTTTAAAGGAGACTTCTAACCAGAAGCACCACTGGTTCAAATTCTGGTGTTTCTAAAAAGAAAAAATTGCATGTATTTTATTTCTAAATCCTTTTTTCTTCCTCACAATATTAACATGGAAAAGGAAAAACAAGAAAGATAATTTGGGGGACATAAGAAACAAGGCCTTTCTAAAGTATCAAAGAGCTTAATGACAAAATGACATATATAAAGTACTTGCAAAGTAGCAATGAACAACCTTTGTCCTCAAAACGGTCCTCTCCATACCTGATCACCTATAACACATGGAGAGAGTGTTCTTTCCCTTTGCTATTTTGGTGTAGATTTTTATTTTAAGCAGCGAAGTGTGGGAAGCTTCCTAGGATTGAGATGAGTACAGAGACCACCCAGTCAAAAACCCTGCTGCTCTGCTCAGGCCTTTTCACTCTGCCTGAATCTGCCCCACCTATGTCAGTCCTTTATTTTTGGGGTCTTGCTATCGTCACAGAATCATCAGTGCCAATAGATATTCATAGAGTCACTGCCAGGTAGAGAATTCTCTGCCAGGCACCAGGCAATTTTTTTTTTCAAAGGGCTCTGTTTAAAAAACTACTTTCTGGGATTGTGCCTTTATTCTTACCTACTCGTTATCAGTGATTAGTATATTAACAGAGAAATAGGCTGATTCATAAAAGAGGCTAACATCCAGAGAGAAACACAGGGTGAGTAAGTTCTGATTAGGATAAATTTGGTGATGGCCCTACAGTATCATAATATCAAATCTTGGTTGAGAAAAGTCATATTCCTCTTGTGGTATATTCACTCTTTCCTACTCTTGCTTTTAAGGTAAAATCCTACCTGAAAATACCCTAGTGAAGCCCCACAGGTCCAGACACAGGATGAGCCCTTGACAGTCTTAAATTCAGACTTTCGACAAACATTGAGTGTCTATAACACACCGGGCACTGTTCTAAGCCCTTGGGAGCATTGGTGAACTTGACAAAGATTGCTGGTCTTTGGGAGGTAGGTTCCACCAACAAACCATGGGATGAGTCCACAGTTGATGTGAAATCCTATAAATCTGACTTCAACCAATGAGATTTTTTTCCAAAGTGGAGCCTTTAGCAGCCCAGTTCCTACTCCCCGAGACTTACGGCAGCAGTTCCGAGAGCAGGCTCCTCACCTTATTCAGAAGCCAGCTCATAGAGAGAAACCTCAGGCTCACACCTTTCCAGTGAGTCAGACCTTTCTTACAGGAGTAGGCCTCTTAGTCAAATCATGACGGATAGACGTGCTCCAGCAAATGGCACTCCTGCTCAGCGACTCTCACCACAAAGTGAGTGGAGAGACCCAGTGAGACTCAGGAGGGCTTGTTACATAGGAAAATTGTTCTCACTTAGGTAGAAAGGAGTGTTGGGGGCTCTAGGGAAAGTCTACTGTCACGTGTGGTATATAGGACTGGCAACCTGGGTTTATAGCCCAGGTTAGTCCACTATGGCATGAAGGACCGCAGGTAATCTCATTAACCTCCCTGACCCTTTGTCTCCTCCTGTAAGGCTAACCACATGCACGTCAGCATCATCCTGTCAAGTGCCTGGTATATTGCCTGGTGCCCGGAAGGTACGCACTGACATTGGTTTCCTTGTCTCTGTGAAAAGGAAGTACAGCTAAGGCAAAGAGGAAATTGAGCAGCCCCGATGAGTACAACCCTGAGCTGTGGGCTTTAGGAGGACTTTCTCATTTGTTCTGAAAAATAAATCTGAAATAAAGATGCTGAATGCCTCTTTACTGAGAAGGTGAAGAGCCTGGCTCCAGACAGGAGGTAGAAATACAGTAGGTATGACAAGGGAAGTAAAATCTAAAGAAGTGGTAACCGTGATGGAAGAGCACTATAAAATATAAGGATACTCTCTGGTACCCTTCCATGAGAGAGAGTCACAGAGGACAGACTTGGATGGGTTGGAGAAAGTATGGTTAGGTCCTAGTTGGAGAAGGTATGGTTAGGTCCTAGTTGGAGAAGGTATGGTTAGGTCACCAGATAGCAGAGAAGTTCACTGGTTTATCCAGACAGAGTTTGTCTGGATTTGCTGGGCCATCAACAGAGGACCCTTCCAAATGTAGGCAGGGACCAAGTGGTTCCATCCAGTGGCATGGCATTCAGTGGAATCTGAGCAACGAGGAGGAAGAGGCTGAGTCCTCAGACCATGTGTGATAGGGGTGGAATTTGTGGAGGGAACAAGAGTTCCATGTGGGCCAGCGCCTCTGGTGGCCGCATGTGGTCCACATGAGGGCCCGTGGAGGGACTCCAGGTGTTGGTACAGGAAGGAGGCTGTCAGGGTGGGAGGGCCATGCCAGGCACTAACTTCCAAATAAAGAGGGGTGCAGAAAGGTTGTCACTAAGCTAAGGCTACGAGGTTATGAATGGACCACATTCTGGGCTTGGAGAATGGAGCAGACTCTAGGGATGACCACACATCCCTCTTATCAACATCAGTAATGCTGAAATGACAGGTATCCTCTTTCTCCTGCAATGTCCTTTCAGCACTTTAAAAGAGAAAAGGGGAGTTCTTTTATCATGGAACACATATTAAAGGATGGATATAGAGTTGAGAAGTGTTATTGGAAGTCACCAATGTTCAGGGATTGGAAATCTCCCTGGAGTCCCACAGGCAACAGCAGAGCCTCATCTACATCTGGCTGGCTACAAAGACATTTCCAACCCAGCCTCCCCTCTTCTTTCCTTTCCTCTTTTGTAATTTTGGGGATCAAACTCAAAGCCTTACACAAGCTAAGCAAGTGCTCTAACAATGAACTGCACCCCTAACCCCAAACCCAGCTTTTCTAATCAGAGAAGTTAGAACAATCCCCAACCCACCAAAGGCTGGGAATCCCCTGAACATATGTCCAGAAATTATGAGCTCCAAGGTACTTTGGGTATAAGATTCCAATGCTCCTCCCTGCATATAACATCATCATCAGTTGATTTGTCTGCTGCCTCAAATTTCTAAGGGCAGGGACACTTGTTATTCATTTCAAAGTGTCCAAACTTAGTACATAGAAGGGAATCAAATCACTTAGTGAATAAACTGAGGAATGAATACAAGGGGAGGAAATGGTAAACTGTTTTCTGTTGCTATAATGAAATATCTGAGACCAGATAATTTATAAAGATAGAAGTTTATTTGGTGCATGGTTCTGGAGTATAGGACGTCCAAGAGCATGATTCCATCATCTGCTTGGCATCTGGTGATAGCCTTCTTGCTGCATCATGACATAGCAGAGTGCATCACATGTCGAGATGTGATGACACAGGTCTGTCTTCCTCCTTTTATAAAGCCATTGATGCTATCAGGGGACCCCAACCTCATGACCTCACATTAGCCTAATTACCTCCCAATGGGTCACCCCTACCACCAGATGTCACTAACAAATGAATCTGGGGATTATGTTTGCACCACATGAAATTTGGGAAGAAACATTCAAAACCGAACGGATGCAGATATTATAGGTGCCTTGCCTAACACCT